GAAGAGATGGCGACGCAGAACAGGTAAGCATCTCCCTCCTGCTTGGTTTGTTGTTGGTCTTCCGTTGCCTTCCTACCCGACCCGACCTTGCTTTGCTTTGCCTTGCCTGCGTTGGACGCTGTGCATTTTGCCAACGTCGGCTCTGCACCACATTGCATCGCATCGCATCGCATCGCATTTCATCAGTCTAGTCTGTCTGTCGGGCTGTCTGTCTTCAGTCTAGGTACTGTCCGTGTTCTCTGCACTTGCACCCGCATCTTAGCACCCGCATCATCCCTTCCCCCTCCTCCGTTGCTGCTGGGCTGCATCCCATCCATCCCTAATCCCGATTCCTACCTCTCCGCCCCCCATTCCACTACTCCCGTCCCTCCCTCTACCGCAATCGGCCGGTTCTCTCTAGGTTGGGCTTGCAGGCACCACGCATCAATCAGCAGCCAGCAACCAAGCAACCAAGCAACAAACAGCCCAAGCAGAAAGCGGGCAGCAAAAAGCAGCCCAGCCCAGCCCAGCCCAGTCCTCCTAGCAGTCAGTACTGCGCCGCACAGCACACACACACACACTGCTAGTGCCTGAGTGTCTTGCCTGTCTCTTTGCCTCCCTCCAGCAGCGAAGCGACTCGACTCGACACCTTCAGCGAGGCTAGAAGTGGGGTTAATTTCGACTCGATCTGTCATGGCGCACCTCACCGATTGTCAACCGCCAACAGCCTGCTAATTGCGCTGTTCCCATTCCACACCTTTGCCTCTCCATATCCCAATCAACCCCCCCTTTTGCCGTCCTTCGCTTCACCCGCTCGTCGTCGGCGGCAAAACTTCACACTACTTTGTTGTTCTTTTGCTTGTCATCCTCCACAAAGTCGTTCCACCCATTCGAACACTTCCATCGCATGCAGACCGCGCCCGCCTCCGTCGTCGTCCACGCTGCGCAATCATGGCTAACGAACGCAGTGTGTACTCGTCCGGCCAGTTCATGAACCCAGGCCCGGCGCCACGACCTCCGACCGATCGACCACGTCTAAATCTCGTTCCCAACAATAATCTACCAGGCAACATGGCCAACATGGCCATCTCCCCCATCCGGAGCACCGCGACCTCGACCTACACCGGCTCCACCATCTCCCTTCCGATCGCCCGTCAACAGTCGAACCAGATGGATGGTATGGGAGGCGTTGCCGTCAAGAAGGAGGGCTGGGCCTCCGTGAAGGAGTCAAAGAACTTCATCAACCCATGGAAGCAGAAATACCTCATCCTGCGCAAAGAGTCGCTCGACTTCCACAAGGCAGAGGGTGGTAAGGTTTCTTACACCCTGTTCCTCAAGGACGTCGTCAACGTCGGCCGTGTCGAAGCCGCCGGCACCATCTTTGAGATCAAGAGAAACCCCAGCGGCTCCTCCAACAGCCCCGGTGAGGACGACGGCCAGACCAAGACGTTGCAGATTCGTGTCAAGAGCGACGACGACTTGTACGAATGGATTGATCTGATTTACGGCGCCTGCCCTGGAATGGGCGGTGTCAGCAACCCCACCAACTTCTCCCACGCTGTCCACGTTGGTTTCGATCCCCAGACCGGCGAGTTCGTCGGCCTACCGCCCGAATGGTCGAAGCTCCTCAACTCTTCCGCCATCACCAAGGAGGATTACGAGCGTAACCCTCAGGCCGTCTTCGAGGTCCTCGACTTCTACTCCGACCTGACCAAGCGCGCCGAGAACCCGCAACAATACTCCAGCCTCACCCCCACGCCCCCCGCCGCCAACCAGCAAAACAAGCAGCTTGGATATGGAGGTGGTGGTGCCGGCGTCGCGCCGCCTCGCCCTATGCCACCCTCCCAGGCCCAGCGTCAACCCAGCTACAACACCCAGCCTTCATCACAGAACCAGCCGCGGCGGCCGTCGCCCACCGAGTCGCAGCAGCAGCGCATGCAGATGCAAGGCATGGCCTCCAACTATCAGCCCGACCCTCGCGAGGAGCAACGCCTCAAGCAGCTCGAGGCGCAGCGTGCGAGAGAACGCGAGATCGAGGAGCAGAACCGGAGGGACTTGGAGGTCTTCAACGCCTCCATTCCCAAGACCAAGACGCCCATGGCTCAGCAGGAGATTGGTGGCTACGGCGGTGGATCGTCGTCCATCCCTCAAACGGACAGATACAACCCCTCCAGGGCAGCACCTCCTGCACCGAAGCCGACACAGCAGCAGCAGATCAACGGTCTGCGTGCCCAGCGCCCGGCACCGTCACCGCCAACTGCCGGCCAACCTGCGCGACCACCAATGCAGTCGCAACAAAGCTCCAGCTCGATGCGGGACCCCAATCAGCAGCAACGCATGCCCCGTCCAGACCAGCCCAGCCAGCAGCAGCAGCAGAGGTATCCCCCCAACGGCAGCCCCCAGCAGCAGAGACAACCTCCTCAGGCTCAGGCTCAACCGCCATCTCGTCTGCCCGCTCCTGTCAAGCCCCTGAACGTCTCCAAGGCCCAGCCCGCACCCCAGAGCGATGCGGTCAAGGCCGCGGAGGCTGCCCTTACGGCCAAGCCCACTCAGCAGGAGCGCCAGAAGGACGTACGCATGTCCACCATGTCCGAAAGCGAGGTCATGGCCAAGCTCAAGGAGGCTGTCTCCAAGGACGACCCGAATCTCTCCTACTCCAAGCAAAAGAAGATTGGACAAGGTGCTTCCGGTTCAGTCTATGTCGCCAAGGTCAAGGAGGGTGCTGTCTCGCCTATCGCTCGTGAGGTTCTGCGCGCCCAGGGCATCAAGGCTCAGGTCGCTATCAAGCAGATGGATCTTGCTCACCAGCCCAGAAAGGAGTTGATCGTGAACGAGATCATGGTCATGAAGGACAGCAGACACCGCAACATTGTCAACTTCCTCGACGCCTTCCTGCGCAACAACAACGCCGAGCTCTGGGTCGTCATGGAGTACATGGAGGGTGGTGCTTTGACGGACGTCATCGATAACAACCCCAGCATTACGGAAGAGCAAATTTCCACCATTTGCTTGGAGGTGAGCACAGTCAACACGCGCAGATCGTATGTGGTTACTAACTTGAGCAGACTTGCCGCGGCCTGCAACATCTTCACTCCCAGAACATTATCCACCGTGACATCAAGAGTGACAACGTCCTCTTGGACGCACGTGGAAACGTCAAGATCAGTATGTACCACGAACCAAGGCCCACACAAATTTTGCTAACGAACCCCATAGCCGATTTTGGTTTCTGCGCCAAGCTCACCGAGACCAAGTCGAAGCGCGCGACCATGGTGGGAACACCCTACTGGATGGCGCCCGAGGTTGTCAAGCAGAAGGAGTACGGCCCCAAGGTCGATATCTGGTCGCTGGGTATCATGGCTATTGAGATGATCGAATCCGAGCCGCCCTACCTGAACGAGGAGCCCCTCAAGGCTCTGTACCTTATTGCCACCAACGGCACGCCACGCCTCAAGAAGCCCGAGAAGCTGAGCAAGGAGCTCAAGGCCTTCTTGTCGGTCTGCTTGTGCGTAGACGTCAAGAGCAGAGCGTCCGCGGACGAGCTTCTAGCCCACGACTTCCTCAAGCACGGATGCCCGCTCGGCAGCCTTTCCGAGCTTCTCGCATTCAAGAAGCATGCCAAATAAACTGGTGTGCACTTCGGGTTGAATAGGCTCACTGAGATGCGGTTGCATCAGCAGTGACAAGCGGCGTTTACGGAAGTGGTGATTTCGTGCAATCACACCTGGGACAGAAAAACAAAAGAAGACCCGACCTGCGCGCCCCTGCACGAAGCTCCCTCTCACCCATTCACTACGACGACGTACTCATGAATCTCTCCATTTGAATCGACGCGGATATCCTTGACACCCTTCTGACTCACGCGGGACGACAAAATGTTTCGTTCATCCCATCATCATGGCGGCATGGGATTTTTTGCTAATGGTCTCGGTCACATTGCATAGTTGTTTAGTCACTGAGGAGGGAGAGCGGTAATTTAGAGGGAACGAATGACCCGTGACATCTGTGGTTCCATTGAGCGGAAAGGAGCAAGGCAGTCGAGAAGGAGGGCGAGCGCGCTGTTTTCGTGCCTCAGAGAAGCAATACCACAAGTAGAGGGGCCAAACAGCGCTGATAGATAGTCTCAATGGAAAGAGGATCAACGGACAAAATCTCGGGCTGAGTTACCAATCATTTCAGATGACTTTCATGTTACCTGTTCAAGCAAGACTCGATCCGGCGAGTGTGAGGCGCTGGACGAAGTCAAATGCCGGAGCGGAGGTGAGTTTCTTTTATGTCGCAACCTTCATTCTGTAATAGCGCGTCGACTGACAGATGTGTATGGTTGGAGCGAAGAAGCTCTCAGCCGGCCCCAACTCCAGCTTAAGGTATGGTGTCAACTACCTAGAGGACCGCTCGGCCCCTGCCCTTCCCCTCTTATGAAACCCCGCCGGCCTCGTATTCGCATTGCCTCGTAGTGCAATATCCGAGAAAAACGAGGCCGCCGCCAACGACGTACCGTGAACGTTTCCTTCTCTGCAACTCAACGCCCACCCCCAGCGCGCGCCAGTTATTTTTTTTTCCTGGTCATCCTGCTTACCGCGCCGGCTGCCGAATGCGCGCCGGTCGTCGTCATTTTCTGGATTCACTACTGCAACTGCAAGGCCCGATCGGATCCGCCGCTAGCGACATCAACGAGTGAGCGTGTGTGTGTGTGTGATCGCGGGCCCCCGTCTTGGCTGCCGTGCCGTGCCTCCATCCCACCGGAATGGACAGCCCAATGGATGGGTCCGGAGGGTCGTCTTCGGCGCCGGACTCGACGCCGACGGCGACGGCCACTACGCCCGGCGCTGCTGCGACGATGGGTGCGGGAGGCACCGTGGTCGCGTCGTCGACGGCGGCGAATGCGAATACGACGCCCGTGGTCTCGAGACGATCACATCCAAAATCGAGGACGGGCTGTAGGACATGTAAGAATCGAAAAATCAAGGTGGGTGTTTTTGTTTGTGATGAAAAAAAATGATATGTGAGACCTCTCACTCATGTCGCAAGTTCCTCTGGTCGGTCTCATTCACTCATGAGAAGCGTGTGGAACGGCCGAACTGTCTCTCATCATTGTTACACAAATCCCATACTGACACACTCTCATTTTAGTGCGATGAGCATAAACCATCCTGTAGGAACTGTATCAAGCACGCGGTCCCGTGCGACTTTCTCCAGTCCCAACGGCAGTCTTCCGCGTCATCGCTCCCGAGATCGCCGGGGGGCACCGAGTCTCAGGGTCCGAGTAACGGCACCCACGGCGGTTCAATCCCGGGCTTTGGCGGAGGCGGAGGCGTCGACGACCTGTCGCTGAATCTCATCGACCTCGAGCTGATGCATAACTTCACCACCTTTGCCTACACGACCTTATCGACCGACCCCGTCGTCCGGCAGATGTGGAAGGTCCCCGTCGTGCGGCTGGCCCTCGAGTGCGACTACGTCATGCGCGCCTTGCTCTCCGTGTCGGCGCTTCACCTGGCCCATCACAGGCCCGAACGGAGAGACTTCTTCATCAGCCGGGCGCTCACCTATCACCAGATGGCCAGCCGGACGGCCATGGGCCTGATGGGAGCCCTGGACGGCGAGAACTGCGAGAAGCTGTATCTCTTTTCCGTGCTCACCATCTTCTTCGGTACGCTTCCCCCTTACGTCTCATTGCTGCTGAGTCAAACTCCTGACCATTTCTCCAGCCCTCGCCTGTCCCCGGAAATCCTCCGACTCCCTGATCATGGGCGAGTCCTCCTTCCCGGACTGGCTGTTCCTCCTCCGCGGCACGCGGGGCCTGCTCAAGATCCTCGACCCGCGCGCCTACACCGGGCCGCTGCTGCCCATGTTCACCCACGGGCGCGAGCGCTACATGCACACGCGCGACGAGTCCAAGATCCAGTCGGACCTGCTGGCGGACCTGCAGCGCCTCGTGAACAAGACGTGCGCGAACCCGGAGCTGCTGCCCGTGTACAACCACGCCATCGACGAGCTGCGGCGCACGCTGAGCGTGTTCCTGTGGGACGGCGGCCGCGGCATGGACATCACCGACGCCTTCGTCTGGAAGTACCTCATGGCCGAGGACTTTCTGCCGCTGCTCAAGAGCCCCGGCGCGACGCAGGAGGCCGTGGCCATCTTTTCGCACTTTTGCATCCTGCTCAAGAGGCTGGAGAACGAGTGGTGGCTGCAGGGGTGGGCGACGCATCTGATATCGAGGGCGTGGACGTTGTTGGACCAGGATCATCGGCTTTGGATCCAGTGGCCGATCGAGGAGCTCGGGTGGGTGCCGCCTTAAGGGGGGCTGGCCGGTGTTTTCTTTTCGTTGAAGGGATGTGTGAGGGTTTTGTATAATTATAAGCAGTTAGCTAGCCCAGAGATACCTCGGGCTTGCTTTGTTACGGCATTGGAGCATTTTCTTAAGAATTTCTCAGATTTCATTTCCATTGTTCTATATAGTTTGGCATATCACTATTGAACCTATCTTGTCCATGGGGCTCGCTCCCCTCCACCGCGCCGTGCCGTCCTCTTGTCTACTCCGAAGCACCATCACACAAGCCGTCTTTGGATGCGCAAACGCATGGGACCCGGCCAAAGATTGAACGCCTCCTCGTGAGCCAGCTCAAACCTCTCGTCATCAAAGCCAAAGTCATACCGCTGCACCAAGCTAGCCAGCAGCATCATCTGCTCGATGTAGGTAATGTTCCTCCCAATACAGCCGCGAGCGCCTGCGCTGAACGGGATGAAGGAAGCTTGCGCGTCCTTGGCCTTCTCAGACAGCCACCGCTCGGGCGCGTACCTCTCGGGTTCGGGGAAGAACGCCGGGTTCCGGTGCGCCGTGTAGATGGGGACCGCGACGACGGTGCCTCCTGCGATCCAGTGGCCGTCGATCTCGTAACCCTCTGGGGGCGTGACGCGATGAAGCCCCGTGCAGACGGGAGGGAAGAGGCGCAGGGACTCGTCGATGCAGGCGCGGAGGTAGGGCAGGTTCTTGACGCTGGCGTAGGTTGCCACGCCGTCGGTGCCTACGACGGCGTGGAGGTCGACCTCCTCCCGGAGCCTTTTGAGAATGTCTGGGTTCTTGAGGAGAAAGTACATGACGTGGGTCAAGGCTATCGCCGTGGTGTCTGAGCCTGCGTCCACTGGTGGATGTCAGCATGCTGCATCAGTCGTTTGGATGAGTCTGCTCACAGAGTGTACTCATCTGTCCCTGGATAGCGGCGAATTGCAGGTTGCGTGCTTGACCAGCCTTGTCTTGGAAGAGGCAGGTGGCTAGATCATCCAGCTCTTCTCCTGCCTCATGTTTGCGTACTCGCTCCTTGACTAGACATTCTAGCAAGTCGTTAAAGTCCTCGCCGAGCTGGCGACCAGTGCTGAAAAGCGCCGAGATGCTCTCCAACACGGGCTTCACACCCCGACACCAAGGCGACCAGACAATCATCGACAAAGCCCTCCTCGGCGCATGGAGACCCTCGATGAACGGCACAGTCTTTTCACCCCCATCGGATGTCGTGATACGCACCAGATCGTCCCCCCTCTCAAGACAGCCCAGCCGCTGGCTCAGCGCAATGTCCACGATGGCCTCGACGGTAAACAGATTAGCCCATTTGCGAAAGTCTACCACAGCGGGGCCCTTGTCGGCACAGGCGTGGTCGAATCGCTGCGTCAACCGCCGCACCTTGTCCGCGACCTTGAACTCCCACTGCTCGAGGTTGCGCGTGGCGAAGGCGTTGGACAGGATGCGGCGCTTGGCGGCGTGATCCTGCTTGTCGATGACCTCGATCAGGCCGGCGTGGGGCGTGAGGGTGTTCTCGTAGGAGCCGCCCTTGGTGCAAGGGGTCGCGTGGCCGTAGATGGCCCGGATCGCAGCGGGCGAGGAGAAGGAGATGGTGTTGGGGCCGAGTCGGAGGACCGGGTGGTGTTGGTGGGCGCGGTGGACTTCTCTTGAGCGGAAGCCGCGGTAGCGGAGGATCATGAAGGGGATGTTGGATATGCCGGAGAAGTATGTGGCGTTTGGGAACCGACGGAGGCGCTTTTTGTCCCGGAGGTATGTTATCAGGGGCTCGAAGATGAGGAGGATGAGGGTGAGGGATAGAAGTATTGTGATCATGGCGTCGTTCTTTGCAAGCGTATACTAGGTGAAAAGTTGATATGGATAACAAGAAAAGACATCATGCTCGCCAACTAACTTTTGTCCTTTTATATCCTTCGGCCTGGCCTTTTCGACTCTGGCCTTCTCCCCTCTGGGTATGACCAGAATCATTGTGACGAAACACGTCTTCTCATGGCGCATACCTGATTTAGAAAACGAGCCCGCAGACTGCTCGTGACCTTTTCACATCGAAAACAAGTCATCCTTCTGATTCCGGTGGAGGAGCTTTACCGTCTTAAACAACTGCAGTTTATGCACGTCGGACGGAGCGATGTACTACATCAGGAAACTGTTGATCGCGTGGCGCTGATTGGGGTATTACCGCATTTGGAAGATCCGCCCGCCTTCCCCAAATCGCAATTCTTCCCATTACCCATAAAAGCAAGAAGCCCCGACTTATCCAACGGTCTCTACCCCAGACTTTCCATCATCATCCCCCCCCCCCCCCCGCGTTGCCCTCGGTCTCGATCTAACTTCGACATGGTCATAATCAAACAGTTCAACCCCGCGCCCGGGGGAGAGAAGACCCATGCTTCGAGGTTACGCATGTCATCCCGAGCGTGGTGAGTTGGCCTCGGCGGCACTTACACGCCCTTCTGACTGCTTGCGTAGCCATAGATGCCGTACACTCCACAAGAAATGTGAGCTTGTCCCCATGTCTCGGAACTATAGCCGCACTCTCATTCATTGGGTATGAAATGAATGCTGACTATCCGTAGGTGACATTCGGAGCAGGGGGCAGACATGTTCAAACTGTGAAGCCGGGGGCGCTTCGTGTAGGGGCGGTGGAACTAGCGAGCTTCAAATCCGATTCAGCGGGTTGAGCCATTGTCCGGTTGAAGTCGCAGACTCAGATCCCTCGTCCAAACCTCGGTCTAGAACACGGGGAGATCGAAGGAGATCGAACAGACCGCCGCTTGCCGCCACCCATAACGAGGGCAGCCGTGATGTTGTTGACGCCCCATGGCAACCTGCATCTGAGGCGCCCCCTGTCATTGAACGGGAAGCCTTGGGCTCTACTCACACCCTTGATGTAGATGACAGTTCCGCCCAGGCTTCACTTCGCCCGCAGCCATTGCCTTCACGTGAGGCCAAACTTGTCAAACACTTCTTCACTACTTTGATTCCCTGGGTAGGCGTAAATTTCAATTGGAGGAAGTCAACAGAGCTTTCTGACATTAGGTAGTTTGACTACTGCTGGCCCAGTGGACCTTTTGGGTCCCACATCAAGTCGACTTTGCGCCAGGATCCGGGGATACTGTATGCTGTCTTAGCCGTCTCGGCAAGATACCTCGAGGCAGTCCACTCAGAGGAATGAGACTCCAATGAGTACGAGCGGAAGTGCCTCGGCATCTTGATTCCGATGTTGAACGACAGGAACGTGGCGGAACCGCAAGGAGACGGGGTTCTCGTGTCCGCGTTGCTCCTGCGTCTCCTGGACGAGATGACCGGTCAGTCCAATCCAAAAATGAAACGGTACTTTTCTGACTTTTTGGGGAAAATATGCCAGACCCATCCGATAGCCAGTTGGTCATCAGACATACGGTCTCAGCGCCTGTTCTCCTGCGTATGAGGCAACGCAACTTACAGCCGACGGAGCTGAGCAACGCCGCAATGGCCATCGTCCTAAGGCAGGAGATCTTTGTCGCGAACATGATCAAGCGTCCTGTTGAGCTTCTTGGCGAGGACTGCGGGATTGATGGCGGCCTGGGCCAAGCATCTGATGTGACATGGGCGCACCGCATGACGGCGCACGCAGCGCGCGTCACCAACTTCGCATATAGCAACGAGCGACGCACTACAGATCTCTGGGATCATCTTTGGGGATACCTGAACAGTTGGGACCAAGCAAAGCCCTCGTCTTTCGAACCTCTCAACGAGATCCACAGCATCGGACTAAAGAACCGGGCCTCAACTTTCCCAGCAATATACTACATGCACGACTGTGCGGTGAGCGGCCGACAGTACTTGGAGATTTGCAAGATCATCCTCCTGGCGCATGATCCTCGTACGCCGAGCCTGGGTCTGGGTCGAGCAAGCTATGTCAAGGTGCAGGAAGAAAAGATTAGGGAATCGGTCCGCATCATCTGCGGGATCTGGATGTCGAACGAGGAGCATGTTCCGGCGCGGGTGTTGGTGGGCCTGGCAATTGGTATCGCAGGCGAGCTTTTCACAGATCCAGATGAGACCAGGCAGCTGTACAAAATAGTCTTGGAAGCTGAGAGGCACGTCGGATGGCCGTGTCTCAAGGTCAGCCCCAGCTTGCAGGCCTTTTGGGGCTTGGACGATGCAGACATTGCTCGTTGAGGCCGACGTCAACATGTAGGCGTGCTTTAGGTCCTTGTCACGTTCAAGACGGCGTCAAGTCCTGAGAGTACAGGAATTAGCTTTCCTGGCAGTGAAATTTCGATGAGCAGACAAGTTCAATGGACTTTGATTAGGTGATTGTTGTCTCAAACGAGTGACTTTAGGTTGAGAGAAAATGAGCTCCAAGGGAAGCCATTCTAAGAGAATGGGAAACCCAAAATCTACCATAGGCATGGAATTGGCAACAAGAAAGTACCAGAGCGAACTGTCTGAACAGAAACGCGCTAACTCCTTAAGACTTCTGCTTTTCCAACCAGATCGTAGACTCAATGCCCGTGGAGCCCAACGGGCGCTTCGCATCACCACCAGGGGCATCGCCCTTGACGACAAGAACAAGATCGGAGAAACCGATTCCCCTCTCCTGCATGCGCTTGATGTCTTTCTCACTCTCAGCAGCGCGCACTACCACCGTGGATCGGGAAGACCCCTGCGGCACGCCGATGTCGAAGGTGTACGAGCTCTTTCCGGCAGCAGGCTCGAACTTGGAGCCGAGAATCTTGGAGTAGACATGAGCGTACTCGGTCAGCAGGTGCTTGGGCACGAGGATCTCGCAAGCCGCAATGCCAGTGGCACCGCAAGGGTGTGTCGTCTTCTTCTCGTCCTCACTTGGAACCCTTCCTGCTCGCGGGGTGACGTCGTGGCAGAAGAACGGGACGTCGATTCTGCCGTCGGGGAAGAGCTCTTGACCGGGCGTCTTGTCCCCTTGGGAGAACTCCGGACGCGTGACCTTCCAGCTGATCTCCACGCCGTCAGCCTTTTTGCGTGAGCCCGCAATCGGTTTGCCGAATTTGATGCCCAGGCCGTCGTCTTTCTCGGGGCCCTCGGACAATCGTTCGTTGACCGTCCCCACCGATTCCTCTGCGGAGTGGGTTGTATCGGTGATGGCGAAGTCGATCAGGCCCGGGGGTTTAGACCCCCAGAATCTCATTGGCAACTTCTCATCATCGAGAGCCGGTGGCTTATCGTACCAGTTGAAGAACTCAAGGTAGGTGCCATCGGCGAAAATTACCAATTTGTTGCGAGATGGTTGGCCATCGTGATAGCCCCCAGGGGTGACGGTGAAGTTGTCGGTGACCTAGGCGGGGAGGTTTTCAAAAAAGGGAGTATCGACCAGGAGAACGATGTGGTCTTGTTGCGTGGAAGTCATGGTGCTGGGTTTTGGTTGTGGTTGATTGCGGAGGTTACATATCCCCTCACTTGTGCTTTCACACTTATTTGCGTTTGCCCTTGCCGAAACCCCTGCAAATGCGGGATTTTTAGGTTTTAGCTACACTACTACCCTAAACGTTAATTAATATTATTGTTTTTATTATTTTTAATCAGTTTATTAGTAATTAATACTATTTATATTAATTTATTTATATCTTAATATTATTTATAGCTTTAGGAATTATATAAAGTGTAATATATATATTTAGGGGTAAGATCTTATTATATATAATAGCGCTAGCTTATAGGTCCTTATAAGCCTAAGATTTATTATATATATTATAAGATCTAATATAGTATAAAGGTATAATATATATATATATTAGTATAATATATAATTAACTATATAATAGCTATAAAGAAGTTATTCCCTCTTTTATTAGCCTTTAGAAGGATTAAGCTAAAGTTTATAACACCTTAGTATACTTAATTAAACTTAAAATATATTACTTTTAAAGAATTAAGTTAGTCTTAATTATTAATACTTATAAGGTTATCTATAAAGTTAATAACTATTAGAAATAGATATAGGGGTATATCTTTATATAGTAAGAGTTTTATAGACCTATTACTAATAAAGGTAAATATAAACTTATATAGCTATATTTAAGGAAGTAATAGCATTTATAAGCTAATTAGAACTTAAGCTTATATACTTTTAGGTAAACTATATATAGTTTTTATAAATTAAGCTTTAAATACTTTCTTAACTAAAATACTAAATAATATAGATAATATTAATATAGAAGATAATATAGATTAAAAAGAGGAGGTTAATAATAAAGTTAAAGAAGAGGAAGTATCTATTTAGTGTAAGATAATTAATATAATAAGCCTAAAAAACCTTAAAAATACTAGATCTATAGAAGAAGAGGAAGTTAAACTATATTAAGAGAGGCTTACTTTTAATATTACTAATAAACTTTTTAACCTTAAGGAATTTATCTTACTACTTAAGATTTATTAGTTTAAGATTTCTATTTAATTTAAGATTATATTTCTTCTTAGCTTTAAGTTAAAGTTTAGCTTTAACGTTTATACCTATATATTTAAGATTTATAATCTTACTATTAAGCTTATAATATAGTTTAACTATAATATTATAGAATAACTACTAAAGAAGTTTAATTATTTATATAAAGATTACTAAGTTATTATTAAAGATATAAATCTATCTTATAAGTTTAAGTAAGAAGTAGTTTTAAGGAAAAGTCTTAAGTAATACTTATTAATTTATTAATAGTACTTTATATATTAAGATTAACTTATTAATATTATCACTAAAGATATTAGGTTAAAGAAATAACTAAAGCTATTAATAAGTATAAATAATTTAAAGCGTCTATTATAAGATTATATATTTATTATAGTTACTTATTAATAATAAGCTAAGATACTATTAATACTACTATTTTAATACTTTATACTACTATCTTAACACTCTATATATTTTATAATTAAGTAAAATATTTTAGTTTAATAAATAATATCCTCTATACTTAAGATACCTTAATCTATATTTAATATACTTTACTTTATAATATTAACTTTATAAGTAGCATAAATAGATAATAATAACTATAATATTATATTAAATTAATTAATACTATCTAAGGTATAGCTTAAGTAATATAGTGTGTAATCTATATTAGTTTAATAACCTAACTTAATACTAATAGAACTTTATATATAGAAATAGTAAATATAAGCTGCTTATTTAGAATTATAATATAAATAGAAGTATTTACTTACTTTTAAGTATAACTTCTATTTAGATAGTAATAATAAGTATTATTATTATACTAATAGGGGAGTAAACCTTAAGTATTATTAAATATTTAAAAATATTATAGCTAAATAGGTATTAGAGATTATAAGTAGTAATATTACTATTAAAAGACTATTAACTCTAACACTTAAGATAATTAAAACTTTAGCTAATAAGAGGAAGATAGTAAAGAAAATTATATTAATAAGTAAAGTAGTATTAAATATAATATTAAATAGTTAAGTAATTTAAGATAATACTCTTTAGGTATTATTAGCTAAAAATAGACTTTATTTTATAAATTAAATTAATATATTATTACTTTATATACTATATATATAGTATTAATATTTATAGCTATATTATTAACTTCTTCTATTAGTTCTACTATCTATTTTTATAAAACCTTCTATAGAAGCTCTAATATTACTACTAATAAAGGTTAATACTCCTCTAGCTATACCTTATTTTAAAGTATTAATTTTATTATTATTACTAATTATACTTAGAGATAAGCCTACCTTTAATCTTATTTTATAATACTTTAAATAGTTATAAAAAAATATACTACTTAGTATTATAAAATAGGATATAGCTTTCTATTAGTTATTAATAGATATTAAAAATAAAATAGTTAATATCTATTAATTTTAAGAATTAGATATAAAATAGTTTAAGAACTTTAAAGTTCTACTAAGTTTTATACTTATAATTAAGGGTAAAATTAAATAGTTTTTAAGTAATATAGAGGTTATAAAACAGCTTATTAATTTTATATTTAGGTTTAATAAGTTAAGTATAGCTATATAAGGGGATTTAACTAATATATTTATATATAAACTTTTAATATAAACTAAGAAGTAGCCTAATCTATAAAGATAAAGAGCAAATACTTAAGAATAATAAATTAAGAGAGTAAAAACTTTAATAATAAAGTTAGTAATATATAGTTTAGATTTATTTTATTTATTTATTTACTGTTTTTAATAATTAGGTTTATATATAATATATTTAACTAGCTAATATATATATAGAAATAGAGAGATATAGAGAGTAATATATTATTAACCTTATTAACCTTATTAAGAACGTTTAATAAATTATTATAAAAAATAGTTACTTAGTTATATAAGGTTATCTTTTTACCTTATAAATATATTAACTTACTTATATAGTATACTTATATTTACTTTAAGGGGAAATATTAAGTATCTAGTATACTTTTATATTAGCTAGAACTATATAAAATATATACTATATATATATATAATACTATCCTATAAATATCTTCTTCCTTAATCTTTAAATAAACTAGTAGTCCTATATAACTATAATTAAATACTCTTAATACCTCTTAATAGATAAAAAGGATTAGCTTAGAGCTTATTATATATCTAAAAGTAGAATAACTATTATATATATATTAGATAACTATTATAATCTCTATCTAATATCTCTCTTAATATATCTATAATATATAAACTATAGATATATACTATTTACTAGTAAATTATTATTAAATAGGTATAATCTATATAGTAGTAAACTCTTAAGCTTAATATTATTACTAAATTAAGCTTATAAGTAAATCTTTTTAACTAATAATATATTTACTCTAAGGAATTATATTAAGCTTTTTAGTATACTTTTATATTACTTAGAGCTATATAAAATATATACTAAGTAGATATATAAAGCTATATTATAAGTCTCTTCTTCTATTCCTTAGTAAATATTATCTTAGTTTCTTATAATAGTAATATAAACCTTTTGCTAATTAATTAATATAAGATAAAGTAATTAGTTAGGTTAGTAATACCTCTATAAGTAAACTAACTGCTATAGAACTATTAGGTTTATATTATTATCTTTATCTAATACCTCTCTTAATATATTAATTATAAATAAACTATAGATATATACTATTTACTAGTAGACTATTAGTAAATAAGCTATATAGAAGTAGACTTTTAAGCTTAATATTATTAATAAGCTAAGCTATTTAGGGAATTATTCCTATTATTAACTACTAAATCCTATTAACTAAGAGCTAAGTAGTAAAAATAATTACTATATAATATAAATCTATTATATTTAATACTTTTTTATATATTATTAACTAATAGCTCCCTATAATATATAAATATATAGACTATATATAGTTATCTACTATTTTTAACTATAATTATTAGCTTTTCCTCTAGCTTTTATAATTATAGGTTTCTCCTCTAGTTATAGTAATATTATTAAGTTAAGTATACCTAAAGGGATACTAGCTATAACCTCTATAATAAATATTATTAATAAGTATATAAGCATTAGTATACCTTATTACTATATAATTATTATGCTTAAATATAGTTTAGATAGAGAGATATATATAGTTAAGCTAGTAGAAGTATAACTTTAATAATATATAGCTATATTATATTTTTCTATCTATATAAAACTATTATTATATTTAGCTTATTATTTAGTAAATACCTTAGAGATAAAACTATTATTAAGCTTATAAGTTTATAACTTTATAATATTTTATACTTAAGTTTTACCTCCCTTATTACTAGAAGAATCTTTTTTTAATATATTAATCCTATAATATTAAAAGTAGCTTATAATTTGCTCTAAGTATAAACTAATAATAGTAACTACTTTATAGAGAAACTGCTTAAAGAATATATCTATTATATCTACTTACTTATAATATATAAAATAATACTATAAATATACTTTTAAGTTACTAAAAAACACCTCTATAAGGTTATAATCTAGTAAGTATAGAGGTAAATATAATAGATAAATACTAATAATATTATATACTATTTAAAGCTTTAATATATAATACTAACTTATATTATTTATAATTAGGACTAAGTTTTACCTTAGGAATAAGTTTATAAGTAGTAATATTAAGTACTTAATCTAATATAAGAAGCTTTCTTAATTTATATAGCTAAAATATATAATATAGTGAAGAATACTATTAAGAGTAAGTATTAATAGTATATAATATTATTCTCCCTATTTTAGTATACTTCTCTTTAAAGGTTAAAGACCTCTTAGTAATTATATTATTCTTTTAGCTTTATTATAATAATTAATACTGCTTTTATTAATAAAAATAAACTAATTAGCTTTAATATTATAGATATCTTATTAATACTTTAAGTATTTCTTATTATCTCTCTATAGAGCGATATATTTAATCTTCTTTTTCTACTATTATATTACTTTTAAGTATTATGAAATTATAGAGATTAATACCTCTAGATTAAACTTATTAATAAGAAATATCTATAGCTTATTAAGATAGATATCTAATTTATTATATAATAGCTTAAGTATTACTTCTTTATATAATAGTATTAACTTATAGTTACTAAAACCTTTTAGTTAATATAGCTTTAGTATATCCTTTATAGTAATAAATAAAGTATAATAATATTAGATAGTATGTTTTATATATTAAACTATATTTACTATAGCTATAATACTAAAGAATTTAACTAATAGAAGTTTTTTAAATAAAGCTTTTTGCTCTATATTAAGGGGTAGTAATATTATTTAGTATATATAAATTATTTATTTAACTAGTTTATATCTTTTTATCTTAATACTAATATATTAGTATATAATAGGATTAATAGGGAAGAATAAAGGCTATAATATATTAACTAGACTTAAGCTATTTATATTATATTATTAGTATATATTATAGTTATAGCTATAGCTCTCTATTATATTTATATATTATATATTATGAGAAGTATAAATATAAAAGTATTACTTTATCTATTTAAGACTACTTTAACTAATAATTAAACTTATATTTAATTTTAATAGGAATAGTTTAACTTTATAACTTATAAGCTTAGATATAACTAGAAATATAGTATTAATAAGATCTATTATAAAGGATATATAACTATATTAATAATAGTATTAATTTAAGTTTATAATACTATATAATTATTATATATTATCTATAATTAATTAATAATAGTAGAAATAATAGAAAATAACGAAAAGATAATGCTAATTAACGTTTAGGGTAGTAGTGTGGCTGAAACCTAAAAATCCTGCATTTGTAGGGGTTTCAGTAAGGGCAAACGCAAATGAGTGCAAAAGTGGCTAGGGACTATGCATGATATGTGGGGTAGATGATCTACCACCCCCCTTGGCTAGTTATATACTAAATTGAGACGTAGAGGTAAACTGCTATGTGAGAAGACCTTCAATACTTGATTGGGAAGTTGTGATGGCTTTACTTTCCTCACTACATAACTAAGTGGCATAGTACTGTACATGTACCATACTTGCTAGTGTAGATTGAGTGAATTGAGACTTGGCTGTACCCACGAGAGGATCAAGCTGCGTCTCTCTTCAAATCACTATCAGTCACGTCGTCGAGAACGGCCTGGTTTTGAAGCTTTGCTTGCAGTCTGGCAAGCTTGTGTCTCCTCGTATCTCTCTCCGTTTGACGCGTAACCCACCAGGTATAGCCATTGGTCACCCCGCAAAGGCTTACGAGTCCCATCGCGAGCCCAAATGGCAGCTGATAGCGCGGTTCATAGACATCCTGGAACATCTGCGGCCCAATAGCATCACCAATCTGTCCATAACTGTTCACGAAACCGATAGCGAATGCAGAACCCGTTGCTCCGTTCACAGTTTGAGAACGCCACGACCACATCATACTGTCCCAACACAGGGTGAGCAAGATGATCTTATAGGTTGAATGGCAGACGACCGCTAGAGAGCGTCGCTCGTAATGGGGGTGGAGAAGGTTACTTACGGAAACCAGGCGATAGAGAATGCATTACCAATAATCATAGCAATGTAGACACCGATGTCGTGAGGATAGGCAACCAAAACGGAATAGCAAGCCACAGTGATGACGCAACTGGCGATCGGAAATAGAGGGATCGGAATTCTTGCTTTGTTGGACGCCCATCCGGAGCCCAGAAGGAGGGCAATCGTAACGACTGACATGGGTATGTTGAGAATCTGGGCAGTAGCAATACCACTGTTTTCCCACTGTTAGTATCGAGAGCGTAAGTTGAGTTAGCTGTCTCACCTAAAACCCATGTTGGAAATGATGGTTGGCTGGTAGAACTTGACGCCACTACTTCCGGTAGTCATGAGAGCCCAGCTGAGCGTGAAAAGCCACAGTCTCTTGTCGCGAAGCGTTGTGAGAATCTCCTTGAAGACGAAATTCTTTTCGACAGCCCTTGGAGAGTTTTGAGGTAGTCGTGCTTGTAGGAAAGCCTTTTCTGTCGGTGACAACCATTTAGTCGTCGCGGGAACTTTGTTCAAGTCAGTCCAAGATACGAGGTGGTGTTTTGGTTACAGGTGATGCCAATCACCGCTCAACGTACAATCAGGCAGGAAGAACCAGACCACAAACGCAAGCACGATGGTCAGAGCTCCCTCTACTATGAATAGCCTGTCAAAGTGAAGTTAGCAGATTGAGCGAGTGAACTAGGTTGCAGAATGATTTCCTACCATTGCCAACCAGAAATGTCGTAAGCTCCCGAGACGAGGTGGAAAGCGTATGCAAGAATTCCTCCAATTATACCTGCGACATTTCCGACAGTAACTTCCGATAATCAGCGCTGGCAATACAAGGGGACAAGGGTGAGGCTAACAGATCCAGACGAGCCTGACGGCTATCTCATCAGGACGATACCAGTAGGTGAGCTGGAGGATGATAGCGGGAAACATCCCTGCCTCTGCCTAGAACATACTTAGACATGAATGCAAGCATTTCAGTTTTGTTATCTCGCAGAGCTTACCAGTCCAAGTAAGAAACGCACGGTGTAGAGCCCCGCGAGGTTGGTCACTGCCGAGGTGCAAGCCGTGATAAGGCCCCTGAAAATCGGATGCCATCAGTTACGCCAGACAACAAAAAGTGGCTGTTCGTCTACAAATACTCACCAGGTTATCATAATTCTTGACTGCCACCGGGAAGGACTAATTCTCTTCAAGACCAAGTTTGACGGAATCTCTGCTAAAATGTAAGGGACCTATCTCGCCAACGTCAGCTTAAGTCGACACCCGCCCTTCTTTCGGGGGCGTCACTGACGGTATACAGGATGGTAATCATGCCGAATTGGTCGGAGGTGATTCCAAGTTGTGTCAGTATGTTTTCACTCGTCCCCTTGTTCATGATGCGGGCATTGGAGGCCTGTACGAAACTTTCAAGTCAGAACAAACCAATCATGGTGTGGGTCGACCAAAGAAACGCTGAGGACTCACATTGTTCTCATCAATCTTCTTCATCAAATATAGCATTGACAGAAGAGGTAGCAATCGCCAGTCGACTTTGCGGATCAACTTCCGTTCCTCTGCCGCAGTCAGTGCCGTTAGAGCAGTCTCTCGGCTGATTTCCTCATCTGCTCCGAAGGCATTCGAGACTTCCTCCCCACGGATGGCTGTTCTGAATTTGAGATGGATAGACGGTGTCTCATCCACCGACAACGTCGAGATTTCCTGAGTTCGCGACATGACGAAGCCTCAGTGGTGACCCCCCTCGACTACTGCAGATATGAGGAATGGTGAAGGTGGAGCTTATGCGTAAGGAGAAGTAGTGATGGCAATTCCTGTGATGAGAAAACCTCATACATGATGAGGTTAGCCGACTATAAACAGGAAAAATAGCATGCCATTGCCATCAACACAGTTGAGTATCGATAGGTTGTGGCGAGTCACGCCATCATGAAGAAGAAGCACGCGCTCAGTACTTTTATTGAATGATCGCGTTGAGAATCCTAGAGCTAGAGATTTTCGAGAGGGGATTGGCTTGAACATTCGTGAACTTATCAAGTGGGTTGCATCACGGTGCTGCATTGGAAAGGCGCCGCACGGGTTGTGGGGGGTTATCTACCATGCAGCTCTTCCATGTCAAATACCAAATCGCGACTAACATTGAATCCGTTCGGATTTAGTCCGTTGTAACGGAGCTTCAAGTTGACGGATAACCAGGTCCGTAGCAGAGGGCCCATATTTAAAGATACCTCTTGCGAATGATGTTTACTGCGTTGCGATGCCCATATCTGCGGGTGCCGTTGGATGGATTCCTTAGAGCACGCAACCTGCAAGGCGAATAACGTATGATTGATCCATCCTTGCTGCTTCGTAGATAAAAGCTGCGCTACGCTGACCCTGGCCATGTCAGGAATTCACTGGCAAGTAGGATGGCTGTAGGTCTTAGAAAGTCTTGGCATATGGCCGTAGGTGGTTGCTGTGACAGGTTAACACCGGAATACTTGGGCTTTCTGCAAGTTCAAGTATATCTAGCATAACTGCTTGCAAAGAAAAAGAAGATTGAGAATCACGCATGGAAGACAATACATAGTAGCAGAGGTAGTGCACAGCATGGAGAACCGAACGCCAACGTCGGAATGTTGGTTACGAGCAACACCAAATCTCACGATCACCGTCAAGTCTTCCATATGTTCTTCAGTACCACCGTCGGGAGAAGATATCCTTGTTACAAGAATTGCTTGGGGCCGGATAACCCGCTTTTTTGATATCCATGCAGTCATCTTTCAAAGATACGCTATCTTCTCTTGTAAAGACTATCAAGGGATATGCAGGTCTGTACAACCCTGTACCAACCATATCATGTTTCCAGTCTACGTTAACATGAAGTGTAGCCCTGCTCTACTGCCCCATACTTCTCCTCTTGCGCCAGAGATACCATCAAGCACGCCAGAGCCCGATGGCCGTCAGGGCTATCTGCATGATCAGGCAAGTCCATTTGGTAGCGAGTGGTCAAAACTACAAATGACGCAGCGAAACAAGCATGTTAAAGGCGATGCTTCTGATTCATTATTTGACTGGAATCCTACGACAATTGATCGGGATACTATCGAACCATCCAACACAACTCAGTGAGAAGACGAAATGACGAGACACAGTGAGAAGGGCGGTCTTGAGGACCCTCTGACGACGGCAGAGATCCAAGACATAGCAGAGAGAAAGATGTTGTCTTCTGCATGGGACTATTTTGCGAGGGCTGCGGACGAGGAGAGGGCATTGGAAAGGAACAGCAGTGCTTTCAACCGGTAGGGTCATATTAGTCGATGGAGATCATGGCAGAAACTGACCTGTCAGACTATTCGTCATTCCACGTGTATTAAGAGACGTGAGCGATGTGAACACGGACACAGCTTTACTTGGTTATACATACTCTATGCCCGTGGGGGTAGCACCAACAGCGAGACAGAAACTAGCTGGTGGTAACGGGGAAATAGACACCTCAAGAGTAACGGCCAAGATGAATCTGACCATGACTCTGTCGGCCGGCTCTTCTACACCGATAGAGGATGTAGCTGATGCTCGAGAGAAGTCGGAAAGATCTCCGCCACTTTGGGTGCAAGTATATCTTCAGGCCGACGTAAGCAAGAGTGTACAATGGATCAAACGTGCCGAGGGTAAGTTGACTCTTGTTCCCGGTCGCGCCCGCTCCTGAGAACTAAGCCGTTACTCCCAAAACCAGCCGCTGGCTGTACTGCTCTTGTTCTCACCGTGGATACTCCTATACTCGGCAACAGATTGTCTGAGCGCCGCAGCCTTCTCGCCGAAAAGGAGCTGAGCACGAAGCCCATAGCCAGCGCAGCCACCGTGAACCGCATCCTCATGGACGCCCGAACCAAGCAAGAGGCCAAGGATATCGCCGATTCCGCCGGCGGCGCTCTTATCAACTCGGCCCTGACATGGGAGACCACGATACCGTTCCTTCGTTCTGTGTCGTCCATGAAGATACTTGTCAAAGGCATCATGTCACCAGAGGATGCGAGGCTTGCAGTTGACCACGGGGTTGATGGCATCGTGGTTTCCAACCACGGGGGGAGACAGCTGGACTGCGTGCCTGCCACTCTGGAGCTGCTGCCGCAGATTGCGGAAGCCGTCGCGGGCAAGATACCTGTGATTCTTGATGGTGGGGTAAGGCGGGGAAGTGATGTATTCAAGGCGATAGCCTTGGGCGCAGACTTCGTGCTTGTTGGTCGTCCCGTGCTTTGGGGACTGGCTTACGATGGAGAAAACGGTGTTTCCGCAGTATTGAACATCTTGGAGAGGGAGCTGAGCCAGACGATGGCACTGGCAGGAGTAAGCTCCATTTCAGAAATTGGCCGATCGTATCTCGGGGTGACGAGGGAAGATGGCTTCGGGATCCAACGTCTATAGACATATGCCGTTGGATTTGTCTTGCTTAAGCCGTGTCGTCCACCGTGATATCACCACGGCCCAGAGTCTGAAGGTCTACTCCCCACACCGTACCTAGTTACATCGCATGAACCCGAAAGAAGTGATTGAAAATCTAGCCTGGTGTGAGGTTACGCTATTGACGAAAGAATCTCGTGCTGAGCAACTTCGCTACATATCCTCGAATGTTTGAAGATGATAATAGCAGCAAACGACATCGATACACCTGTTGTCTCCCTCAGCATTAACAACGCTCATCTCAGCCCTGAATCCAGAACAATCATGATCAAACCATCGCGGCATCCGAATTCTATTGACTGATTGTTGGCTCGACGGTAGACGGCTAGGCACCGGAGTGAATGTATGGTGCCCATAGAATCGGATCCCGGCCAGAGCGGACCTCTTGCGTAGCATAACGTAATGCTTCCGCGATGACTCGATTCGTAGCATTCCTCCGTCCATCTTGTGCCAAATACTCGTAAAAGAGTTTTGCTACCTGAATGCAAGTCTCATCGTCGGCCGACCAAAGGGAGCCTATAACGTGCCCGAATCCAGCCACCTGGAAGACACTGACAATATGGAGGGCTTCGTCGGCGAATTGCCCATCCTTGACTTCTGCCGTTGAGCATGCCGAGAGATAAGCAATACGCGCCTTTTCAAGGGTTCGCTTTTCTGAAATGGCTTGGACAGTAAGTTTATCCAAGCATGGCCCTTCTAAGGTAGTCGTTTGCAGAAGTAGGTGGCTGTCCGAAGGGTTTGCGCGATCTGAAGATCCGTGGCAGGCAAAGTGAACGATATCTGATTGTCTCATCCTGTCCATTACCTCTTTCGCCGATGGCTTTTCCAGATACTCGACGTTGAAAACATCTCCAAGAGCTTGTTGAATAGCCTTACTTTCTTTGATGACCCCAGAGAGTGATTTTTGGCCGGGTGTCTCAGGCATCGCAACGACTAGAACTGAAGCCTTCGCGTGCTTCTCGCTATCCCTCGCTGCACAAGATCTCGCATACACAAGCGACTTTATTGTCGGGGTGTAGGAGGGTATTGTTAGACTTAGCGTGTCTTCTTTAGATCCCTCCGAATAAAGGCCGGCAGCGTGGAACGGAAACGAGCTGGCGACGCCTGTGCCAATCCACCACATCCGAGGAGGCTCCGCAGAAGGAGCGATATCAAGCTCTGTGAAGATCGGCCTCACGCAAACTCTCCATAGCCACGACAAGAATCCAACGCTGTATTTTGCCGTGACGTCCTTTTCGCTTTTGATGTCTCGAACATGTTTCTCGCCATATCCATCCCTTGATCTGGACATTCCGAAGGCGCCAGCCAGGACCGAGGCCTGTGATTGAGTGATCTCTGGCAAGTTGATCGCTTTGCAACCGGAGCTGGAAACAATGATAGCATCACTGCTAATACTTGTGACGTTTACAATGATAATCGGCCCTTCGGTGGCACACTGAAGCAGTTCGTCCAGCGTTGGCTCTAGCAGAAACCTTTCGTGGCCAGGATGACGACGAATCCGATCCAGGCAGTCCTCCAATTGGCGATGTGCTTCCATGCGCTCGCTGATTAACTGGTCGCGAGCTCTAGGCTCTACAACATCATCGATGGGTTGGGATGTCAAAAGCCGTAATCGCTCAAATTCGTTCGCCAAACCAGGCTGATCCTTCTTTAAGGCGGAGGCATCGCTGCGGTTGTCGATCAAGTAACCGAGGATGAGGCCTCGTCCGAATTCCACTTGTTGAAGGGCTTGACTTACACGGCCCGTCCTTACAAAAAGAGAACACGCGTCGGACGCAAGTCCTGCGGTCTGCAAAACTGCGTGCTGCTGATCCTGCCGGTCCAAAGAGCGGTCACAAACAGAAGGAAGAAGCTTCACTGCGTCCTGGGCCAGTTCGCAAGCTCGCTCCCACATGGGCAAGTCTAGTAAAATCCGAATAGCCCGTCGAGCCGCTTGCACCCGCACCACAGGTATTGCGGTAGGACATTTTGTCGATTCTTCGAAAAGGTTGAGAGCGGAGTCGCGATCTTCGATGTTTCCTGTCTGCTCGTAGCTGCAGAACAGTACATCCCCGAGGTTGCTTAGATATTTAGCCAAATCAGGATGGTTCTTGGGTGTCTCAACAACAGCACTCTTTGCAGTCCGCAGTGCATCGTCAAGAATATCCATGTCATTTGTCCTTTCGTATTGGCGGAATAAGAAAAGCCCGAGGTTGCTTTGTAGTCGTGCCCGGTTGGAGTGGCCCTTCGGTGTTATTTGGACTGCTTTCCTCATGCTTGATATTGCAGCCTTGAGGTCGTCCATGTTTCTCGTCTCCTCGTATTGGCTTGAAAGCATGTTTCCACGGCTATTTAGACATGTTGCGAGGTGGGGATTGCTCTCAGGTGTATTAGAGATTGCTTGCGTCGTATTCAGCAGTGCGGCCTCAAGGTCGTGCATGCCCCCTGTTCGCTGATATCGGCGGAATAACCTATCGCCAAGGCTGTTCTTCCACATCGATATATCGGGATGATCGTTGGGCGTAATGGAGACCGCTTGAGCTGTGTGTAGTATTGCAGCTTCAAGGTTGCCTCTGTTCCCTGTCCTATCGAATCGGTTCAACAACAAACCCCCAAGGCTGTTGAGATATGATGGTCGTTCGTAATGGCCCTCAGGTATGACAGAGACTGCTTGCTCTACCATAGATATTGCAGAGTTCAGGTCGTCGAGGCTTCCTATCCGCTCATATCGACGCAACAGTCTCAGTCCAAGGTTGTGTAGTCGCTTCGTAAGGTCGGGATCATTCTTGGGCGTAGCAGAGACTGCTTGCTCTGCATAAGACACTGCAGTTTCGAGATAGCTCAAGTTTCCGGTCTCCTCATACAAGCTAGAGCATATAGTCCCGGTGTTGTTTAACAAACCCAGTAGACCGGGATCATTCTGAGGCGTCAAAGAGACGGCAAGACTCATATTTGACAACGCAGCCTCGAGGTCGTCCGTATTTCCTGTTAACTTGTATCGGCTGAACATCATTCCCCCAAAACCATTTAGTCAGCTTGCTCGATTGTGATCGTTTCCAGTCGAGGTGGGCGTTGGTTGCGCTTCCTTCGTAGTCGATATCGCGACGTTGAGGTCATCCACATCTCCTGTTCGCACATATCGGCGGAATAACATGTGCCCAAGATCATCCAGCCATGGTAATCGTTCGGGATCGTGATTGGCCATAGTAGATATTGATTCTGCTCTTTTTGCATTCGATATTGCATTTTCAAGGTCGTCCAAGCTTTCCGTCTCCTCGTGTCGGCATAGGAACATGTTTACAAGGTCATCTAGCCAACTTGCTAGGTTGGGATCATCCTGAGGTACCGCGGAAACCTCTTGTGTTGCAGTCGATATTGCCTCGTCAAGTGTTTCCAAGTCTCTCGTCTCACAGTATAGATGAAAGAGCATATTCCCAAGTTTCATTTTGCTTGGCCGCCTTAACAGGATTCGATCGGTGTCGGTTGAAGGGATCTCCGGGCTGTCTCGCCCGTCGTACGTCTGCTCCTCATCTTCGGTCATGATGAAGGTGCGGGACTTCGAAATCTCATAGAATCTGTCACGTCTTCAAGAGTTTTGTCGTTGATGGCTAGTCTTGCTCAGCGCTGTCCGATGGAGACTTCGAAACATGCAGAGAGGGCCCGTCGAAGGTAAGCAAGTTTACTCGATGACGGACCGCTAATCTATGGGAGCTTTAGAATGAACTCAGTTTCACTTAAGTAAGGAAACACTTACCTTGAGATGATTTATCACTTTGCTATACCTTGCCTCGGTCGGCGTCTCACTTTGCCAGTGGCCTTGCCTCGTCGCGGACCTTCCAGAACACTCAGGGATCGTTATCTTGCAAAGATGTATGGTTTGTCTCACAACTCAAGAAATCTATTCGATGAACCGTCACGGTCGTTCGGGGAATGTTGAAGAGTTCACGCAGAGTTCACTCTCCAGAGAGGAAGACCGAGTGTTCTACGCAGGGGGTAATTATGAATATGATGTGGCTAAAATGTGTTTGATAACAACCCACTTACAAGCTCCCACATGGAGTGCATGCATGGTATACGCTGTCAGTCACAGTCACTTTGTGCATACTGCTCCACCCAGTGATGTACGAACCTGGCAAAGTGCCATGCAAGAGATGAGCCGCCCCTGCCACGAGAACTTTTCACTGCTCGTCAGACTTCGCAGATACTACAACTTTGGGCACCAAGGCCTTGCTTCAAAACCTTCAATAATATGGCACATAGACCGCGGCACATTCCAAATGTTCCGCAATGACATTCACCCACGGGCAATCATCGCCATGGAATGTAATGGTAAGGCTGTCGCATGCTCCCCAGGAACATCTGCTGACCTCAACAGTTATGTGCATGCGTTGGCCCCTTCAAACGCCAACGCAGCTCCAGGGATATATTCAGGTCCAATCACATATCCCGCAGCATTTAGGCAGCAGGAATGCCACGTCGTTTTCCTAACACCACGTGCGGATGAAGAGGGGCAGAGTGCGGTTGGCATGCGGGAGGTCCGGTAATCACAAAGCTGCCAAGCCCAGGAAACGGCTTCCAGTGTGTGTTTGTGTGAACAACATCGATCGAGGAGCTGATAAATCGGTGAAACTTGCCGTAAGTCTGATCGATGCTTCTGAGCTTACAGGTCAAGGCAGATCCACGTTTGCAGGGAGGCATTGGTATTTGTATAATTAATTCCCGGATACATGGATCATGACCCCATTGTTTACCAGTATCCTTTCTCATAGAGTCTCCAAGTTAGTAACGATGACCTCAACCAAATGCGTCATTTTGACCGCCAGCCCCCTTTCAGGCCTCCGCGGCCCGATCAACGACGTCAAGATCATGGACAAGGCTCCCTCCTTCGTACTCAAAACAGTGCAGGTGTATAGCACGAACAGATCAATACTAAGTCAAAGGCAAGTTTATTTGTTTAGAAACATCCTAAAACCTGAAACTTCACTTTTCAACTCCCAAATATATCCCAAGCTTGGCATAGCAGAGCGGCCCGATGAAAACTTGACACGCAGTCCAGACTCTGCTTACAACACTTTTCTCCCTGGAGAGGATTTGAAAACCTCGAATGATCAGCCGCATCTGTCTACGATACCTGCGGGCTTCTCGTTCCTGACTTAGAGTGCCGGCATTGCTTGCTGCTCACCCCGGTGTTGTGGCCACCCTGAAAGTGTCCTGCCGTGGCTTCTCAGAGATGCTGCGGTCTGGTGAGTACATTGCATCTGACTTGCAAAGTCTTCATACCTGAAACATGTCCCATTTCGGCAGCAGATTGCTACCCAAGTTGGTGACGCCGCAAACGGGATCGAGTGCCCTGGAAAGTACCGTAAGGCCTCCACCGCGGTGGTATCGAGAAGACATAAGCTGCAAGCAGCCCCACAGATCACAGGCAGCCTTGGAACCGTCGTCCCCCTTGTTGAACTTGTCAAGCAGAGCCCAAGTGCATGACTGCCACGCATTCGCTTCGTCTTCAGTCACCGGCTTCTGCGCAACAGCAACAGCTGCGAGTAGAGTGGTGAGTGACAGAATAGAGATCTTCATTGTCGACTTCCTGGAGTGTGGTCAGCAATGGTGATGTTGGATGTTGGGAAAGGAACGAACGGCGGTACAGATTCAGGTATGAAGTTTTAATTTGGGGAAGTGATGTGATGTGAAGTGCTTGAGGTTTCGAAGTGATGGGTTTGTCTCTTGCTTTTATCCTTTCCTCCCTTAAAGCCTGAGCCTGTTTCATTCGGCAGCAACCAAAAGCTTTTCATTGACCGACTCCAAAATCTGATTCCACAACGTCGATACAACCATATCATGATAGCACAGACTGTTACGCATAGGCGGGGTTCAATGTCGCGTCACTTGCGAGGAGCCGCAGGCTTGTGTCTCGTCGGCCAGCAGATCAACGTAGCACTTATGTTACAACCATCGCGATCGATGATTTAGAGATGCGGGTTTGGTGTCAATAAACAGAAATGACTCTATTCAGCGCAGTAGTATTAATCCGTGAGGCGAGAGTCACGATAGACAGCTGTTGTCGATTCACGGAAACGGGAGGCGTGTACTCCATCGCGTCTCATACCGGTACGAAAGATAGGCGGGTTCAGAACAGCAGCTCAACATTGCTCTGCAGTCATCACAACATGAGCCTCACGCACTACGTGCTACAAAAATTACACCAGTTATCTAACACCGTGATTCCACTTCCTGATTGGATCCATGTTCAGACCGCCGTCGGCCGCCTGCCACACCGGCAACAGGCCGAGGTTGATGTGCTCAGAGTCTGCTTCAACCGAGTCTGCTTCAACCCGATGAAAGGCTGATCTTTCGCTTGGAACGAGTTTTAACACGTCAACGAGAGTTCAGTTCGGCTGTTGGCCTTTGTGCTCAGGCGGCCTGGAGGCCGCGTTGAACCAAAGTGCGTGACTTCCGTATGTGAAGACTCTAGCACAACATGAGCTCCCGAGCGGCAACAAAAGTGATGGCTTGGAGAAGGTAATTGGGTTGATTGATTGGGTATGGCACGTTCGTCAGCCGCCTTGTATTGCTTGGAGTTTGACCGAATGACGCGTTGCACTTTAGATGAATCATCATAACAACAAAGTGACTGGCAAAAGACCACTTTACACCTGAGTATAAAGACATAGTAAGGAAATGAATCTCTCTGCTCGTTGAAGATTCAGTCAACATAATTGATCGACAACCCATTCTGTTACATTCATCGTTCATCGTATCTTTATTACACCACCGCTCAGCGCTTTTGCAAAGATGCGCCTAGCTATTCTAGCGCCTCCTTGGCTTCTCTTCAATTGCTGTCTAGCCAAGCAGTCCGCTCAGATCTTAGGCAGTCCATTCTCTCTGGGATCCTCCGGATCAGCCATTCAGCATAATCTGGACAGCATCATACCTGCCACCGATCCCAACTCAGGCCGCGTGAAGTGCTGTCCCATCGGTACTGATTTCGACGGTAAGAGCTGTATCATCACCGGTCCCACATGCCCTCCGGGAACGTACCGCAAGGGCAAGCACTGCCTTCACAACGCTCCTCCGGAATGCGGTAACGGCTACGAGTACAGCGACGGCCAGTGCACCTCTCGGAAGCCGCCTGCCTGTGATCACGGCACTGTTCTTGTTGGCAAGCACTGTGTTCATGAGCGTGCCCCCGCCTGTGGCGAGGGGTTTCAGCTTCGTGGTGCCATCTGCGAGTCCCTCAAGAAGCCTCAGTGTCTTGAGGGCGATGTCGTTCATGGAGCCAGCTGCGTGACGCCCGAAGGCCCATCTTGTCCTAACGGATCCAAAGTCGAAGGCGCTTCGTGTATCTCCAAGAAGGACCCTCAATGTCCACCGGGAGCCCGCTACGTGTCCTCGAGCCGGCAATGTATGTCAGAGAAGTCCCCTCAATGCCCAGATGGGGCAACTCTTGAGTTCGGCCAATGCACCTCTTCTGAGGGGCCAAAGGTATGCCTATCCATATGAACGAGTGGCGAGGATAGGAAAATGTATGCTGATCAATACCTACAGTGCCAAGGCGACTCGACCTTCGATCCTGAACGTGGATCATGCACAGTGAGCAGCAAGCCTCAATGCCCTGGCGAGACAACGCTCCAAGGACAATCATGTGTAGACGTTAGCGAAGCCAAGTAGGTACTCCTATTCAGTATTATTCAAATTGATGGCAATTAATATTGACCATACTACAATCAGATGCCCCCCTAAAACAAAGATCTCTACGGACAGAGCATCGGGAATTTCTCGCTGCTGTCCAGACGGCACGACTGTCTCAGGAGATACCTGCAAGTCCACGACGACCACTGAGGACTGCCCATCCGGTACAACATACAAAGATGGAGAGTGCATCAAGTATTCCAACCGTCAACCTTCGTGTCCGCGCGGTTGGATGCTAGAAGCAGATCAGTGCGTGAAGCGAGGAGTCCCAAATTGCCCCAACAATACCTATCCGGATGGTGATACCTGTGTATCCACCTTGGAAGCGCCCGGCTGCCCCGAGGGATACCTGTACCACGACTCAAAATGTATTCTCCGATCAAGTCCCACATGCTCCGGGAAGACGATTCTCGAGGGCGACAAATGCGTCAGCTACGCCAAGCCAACGTGTGACGGTACGTCTGCGGAGTGGGATGGAAAACGGTGCAACCTCAACCGGAGACCAGAGTGTGCCCGAGGAGTACTTCATGATGGTGCCTGCATCATTGGGAGCAAGCCCTCTTGTCCTGAAGGCACTGCTTTTGATGGCGTCGGCTGTCTATCCATCAAGGACGCCCCAGTCTGCCCATCTGGCTCAGTGCTCAACCAGGAAGGGCAATGCGTCACGACTATTCAAGCCACTTGTACACCACCGGCAGTCCACCGAGACGGCCGTTGCGTTCATGGCCAACCTGCATGCCAAGCTGGGTTCGTCCTCACAGATGACGGGTGTCGATCGGTAGATGGACCCAGTTGCCCAGACGGCAAGACTATGGTCAAAGGGACCTGCGTCTCGATCGAGAAAGAAACATGCAAGCCCGGTTATGTTCTCAAGGATGGGCAGTGCGTGTCAGCGTTGCCGCCTAGCTGTGGAGAGAATCAAGTTTTCAACGGCACTGGCTGCATGGGAGTCACGCCCGACTGTCCTGAGAATACCTATTTCGAGAACGGCGAGTGTGTTTCGAGCAACGACCCCAAGTGCGATGCCAACTTTGTCTTTAATGGCAAGAGTTGTGTTGCTGTCAAGGAGCCTACCTGTACCGAAGGTCACGTATACAACGCCGTCACCGGAGAGTGTTTCGCCAAGGCTGTACCGGAGTGCCAGGAGGACGAGGTTCTTGAGGACGGACGTTGCAAGTTGGTGACTGCGCCGTGCGTCGAGTACAAGTTTTGCTTGGCTGGCGCACAAGGGCTTATTTCTGGGTCTGGTGGCCCACGCAAACCAGCTGGCGACTCCAAAGACAAATCTCAGAAGCCTTTGGCCGGGAAGCCTTCATCCAGCGAAGACGTCAAGAAGGGAGCACCAGACGGTACGCAGGCCAGCAACCCTGTTGGTGACCAAGTCACCAATGACGAAACACCCAAGCGCGATACGCAGGCCGGCAAAGACAACATCGATCTGACAGACAAGGAGCAGCCAGGGACCTCTACATCGCCAGGTGTAGAAACGAACTCCGGAAACGCGGGTACAGTTCCAGACCCGAATATCCAAGTACCCGATCCTGCCACGATAGCCAAGGACAGATCTGGCGGAATGGAGAAGGGCGCCGGACCGGACGGGTCCACTGGGCCTCAGCATCCCCCAAGTTACGAGGGCGAGGCTAGCTATTCTGGTCGCGGATCTGGTTCAGGGGCTTCTAGCACAGCTCAAGACGGCGCTGGGGGTGAAAAGGGTGGCAGATGGGTTGAGTATGAAGAAGAGATCCCTGATCGAAGAAAACTCCGAAAATGGATTGCGGACGACGATGCTGATGCTAATGGAGGCATTCCATCAAGCCAAGGCGGCACTGGCGGCCTTCCTTCTGGTGGTCTGCCTTCTGGTGGTCTGCCTTCTGGTGGTCTGCCTTCTAGTGGTCAATGGAAGCTTGACGTCGACATGGGGAGTCTTCCAGATGGTACGGGAGGAAATTTCCGAGCCGGCGGCGGTCAGACGCAGCCAGATGGTCAACAAGTCCCAGCGGGACAAGCCAGCGAGGGCTCTCAGCTGTGGGGGCCGGGGAAAATGAAAGGCGCCTTTGCGGAATGGCAGAAATCTGCAGAGGGCATCCAGAAGCCAGCGGCAGATATTGCGGGTGATTCTCAAATGGGGAGTGGCGGAACCGGACAGATTCCATCTGGAGGAAGTTGGCAATACAAAGGCGGTGGTGCTGCAGCTGGGTCATACGGCAGCTGGAAGCCAACAGGAGATGCCTCTAGCGAGTCTTACTACTCGAGGCTGAACAAAGGGAACTACGGTTCTTACCAAGGTGGAGGTAGAGTAGAGACAGGTTCCGGAGGCGGGCCGGCTGTAGATGCCCCTGGTGAGTCTTACTATTCGAGGCTGAAGAAAGGAGGTTACGGTTCATGGCAAGGTGGAGGTGGAGCAGAGGCCGGTTCTGGAGGCACCCAAAGGCCGACTGGAGATGCCTCTGGCGAGACTTACTATTCGAGGTTGAAGAAGGGAAGTTACGGGTCTTACAAAGGTTGAGGTAGAGCAGAGGCAGTTTCTGGAGGTATCCAAAAGCTGACTGGAGATGCCTCTGGTACCTCTCACTGATCGAGGGCTATGATGGTTGACTTGAGGGTAAAATGTAGACATATTAGTTAGGGTACAGGCTTTGCAGGAGGCGGAGGCGGAGATTCTCATTTCATGAGACTAACAAGAAGCGAAGGATTCTCAATGCAAAGACGAAAATGATAAGCCGGAGGCTCGTGGCAGAGATGTAGTCTTGCAACCATAGCAGCCTTCATGCTTGGCGAGAGAGGGGCTTTGCATCACAATCTTTTTGAAAAATGCGAGACAACAAACCAAGCTTCATGACATTGTATCCCAGTTGGCAGCCCCAAGCTTAACACAGCCAACCCATCAAACTCCTCTCACGCAGAACACGATCCATCCCCGAAATAACCACACCGAATCGTGAAGTAGTCCAACACAAAGTCCTCCGTGCCGCTCCGAGCCCCTCGGCAGACGGTACACCGGTTCGCCTTGTTGTCGCCGTTCTGAACGTCCATGTCAGGGACCAGTACATGCCCGCCGATCTCGGTGGCGCAGATGCCGACGGCCTCGTCGATGCGGCCCAGCGCCCATTTGTCGTATACGCCGCTGGGATAGGACCAGTAGAAGGCGCAGTCTTTTGCTGCTGAGAGAGTGGTGAAGATGGCGAAGATGATGGCTGGCGACCACAGGGCGAGTTGCGGTTTGAAAGGTGGGTTGGAGTTGTTTGCGTTGTAACTCTGAAAGACGAAAGAACAAAAGGCAACTTGAGATGAAGCCATGGCTAAAAGTGCTCTTCAAACTGGTCTCTCCGCGCGTCCCGCGGTCTCGCGAGAATCATTTCGAAGGTCTTGAGCACTGCTGATCTGTCTGCGAGTCATGGACGCGATGGTGTTGAGGGCATTTAATCTAACCAACGCGCAAAAGTCCAGAATAGAAAACTTTACTTTGCAAGCACAAGCCTCGTGTTGTAACCCGCTGCAACCTGCCAATGTATTCGGTGAGACTGGGAGGACAAGTGTGGTGACTGCTCTCTTTCGGAGATTCGGTTTGATGTCTAAAAAATGCATTCGAACTATGCTCATGGTATGACTTTCCAACATTTCTTTTCCGCATAGTAACTCCTCATCATGAATATGTACCCATTCAACTCCAGGCGCCGTTATATCAAATGTCTCTTTCCTATTTGTCAATCTCTGAAAAAATACCCTCACGCCTTGCAGGCGCTGTAGCTGTTCCACCCCGACGCCTGCTGCCACTCCGTCAGTGACTTGATCAACGTCGGGTCGATGTCCCTGTTCGCCTTGATGAAGATCGTCTCGAAGGGGTGCACGTTGGTCCCAAAGTATTTTCCGTTCCACAAAACATCGCCGTTTTGCGACGAGTCGCATTCGTCAATGTAGTTCTCGGACTTGTGGAACGCCGTCATCATCAAGTCTACTTTATACCCATTGTTCAGGAAGATGCTTGTCGCGCCAACCTCGGCGTGGACGGCGTGGTTCCAGTCGTTGTAGCAGCCAGCGAGGCCGACGGGGTCCTTCTCGTTGCCGAACTGGTCGCTGGCGTGTGAACTGGGCGGAGGGTTCAGGAGCAGGTCTATGCCAATTGAGTCCGTCGCCCAGATCATGGACTGCACGTGGAACCGAGGCCAGCAATTGGCGGTCATACCGACCAGCTGGAAAATGTCAGAACCGGGGTCGCATGCTACATAGAGATGAGAGGGGCTTGGTTACCTTGACTTTATCGGTGACACGATCCAGGTAGAGATCGCTCCAGCACGCCTGGGCCCAGTGAGGGAGGAACGGGCCGCGGACGCTCGCATTCAAGGTGATGAAGCGCTTGTACTTCTTGTAGAGATCACCCTCACGAAGAATCTCACCATAGGCGCCCAGATCGAAGCAGGTGTTGGGGCGTTTGACAACCCTGATGTTCTTCTTCTCGGGGATCTTGCTTTCCGCATTCGTCTCGCCGTTCAAGATGAAGACGAAATCAGCAGCATCGTGGAGACCTTGCTTGACAAAGTAGTCGAGGTTCTCAAGAGCGGCGGCGGATTCGGCGAAGGCGTAGAGAATCAGGGGCCTGTCTTTCGATGACGATGAACTGGACGGCGAGGAAGACTTGCTTGGGGCCTTGGCAGTCTCTTGGCTAGCTGGCTTGGAGCCGGCCTTGGCATCCGTCTTTGCCTTGTCTTCGTCTTCCTCATACCATGGCGGTAGAGTAACTTGCGGCGACGTGTCTGGGCGAGAGGCGTCCGGTCGCGGCTTCGAGTTGCCTGATGACGGGTGTTCGGGGACACTTGCAGGCTTACCTCCCGGGTTCACGTTGGGATTCTGAGCGGGAATGGCGGGCTGCGCGGGTTGTTCATGCGTCTAAGCACACCAGTCAGCGAGTTCCCGTCGGAAACGTGAGAAGAAACTCACGATGTGTGTCGGCGTCTTTGGATTAGTCGACGTAAATGTAGACAGCGTCCACAGGAAGATGAGGAACATCAGCAGCCCAACGGCGGTCTGCTTGTTGACCGGGAAGCTGTTACCCATGGCTCTGGCGCGGGTGGAGGTAGCTCGAGGGATTCGCAGGGACAGCTTTGGCGTGGACCTCGCCAGCTCGAGAGCTCGGAATCGATGCGATTCGTATGCGATTCGTATGCGATTCGTGGGCGATGCGACAGCCGATTATCCGGAGGAGCAGGTCAAGACGAGGCGCAAGAAAAAAGATGGAATAACCATCAGATGCTTCGAGCAACAGTGTGGGATGGCAATTGAAGGAAGAGGCAATGTGATCCGAAGTTCAAATGGGAGAGAGTTCTTGTCTTGTCGGAGGCCAGTCGCAACAAGACAAGGGAGCCCACGCCAGATTGGAGGCCAGGGAGCTCCATCTGGGTACGGACAGGATGGCGTGGCATGGTATGGGAGTTATTTAGGGAGAAGTGGGCTAGTCAGGGCTGGGTGATGGGAGGGATTTGGAGGGAAACGCAAGCAAGGAATGCGGGTTAGAGTTCGAGAACTTGTTAGAGACGGTCGAGTGTGGCTGAAGCTAGTGTTGCTGTCATGTCACTTCACCTTACTCTTGTCAGTGTCAGCGACGATGAAGTGACATGACACTGCCGTCCAAGCGCCGCATGGCACGGCAGGACGGGACGAGCATCTCACGTTGATGTCGTACACGGCGCTGTTGAAGATGAACTGCAGTGGCTGGCTGGATGGAGGCTCGGGGGGGAGGATCTACGATTCGGTGGATGCAGGCGGACGGGATGCACACTGGTGACACCACCATCCCTCGAATCGACGGCTAGGAACCGGGAGCCTGGACTCGTAAGAAGCCCACTGTCCACGTCCCCCCCTGTGGAACTCTCCGATCGGGCTGTCCAATCCAGCGCAGCGGTTCAGTCAGGCCTGGCAGCGTCCGCGTTGATGCCGGCCGGGCCTTTCCCCCCACACCCGGGACACTGACGCCGTGGCTTTCACATTGCTCATGGTGGTGGGTGCAGTTCGGCAGTCGGCAGACGGCACACGGAAGACGGCTTGGGAGACGGGCGAAGCTACAGTAGGTAGTCTTCTGCTGTCGTGAGGCTGGATGTCGTTGATATTGAAGTTGCCAGGTCATCGGTACTCGCATCCAACCCCCACGCGGCTCGCTTCAAGTCAAGGTCGTCATTGCATCAAATCTTGCCTTATCGGGGACTTTCTTTTCCCTCACACAGACGGACTTAGTACCTGATGTATCCGTAGGGGTTTGTTCCCTCGAATTCCCGCCTGCGCTGCAACCCCCTGCATGTCGTCCCTTGCATTCTGCACATGGCGATTGGTACGATATCGACCTGTGGCTACCTACCTTAGCTAAGTACCTGAGCTGAGGTATGCCGTACCACCTAATCATGTCGGTGCCAATGGCGCATGTCTCGGACGCTCGCTATCGGCCGTGCAATCTTTATCAGTCTTAGATGCGCCATCGCCTTCAAATAAACGTGCAGAATTGCACCGAGACTTTAACTGACTTTGGGCGGTGCATCTATCGCAATTGACTTTGGCAATCAACGCAAGGGTGGACTTGAGGAGAGACAGCAGCGCACGTCAATCCCGCTAGAGTTGACGACCGCCAAGCCAAGCAACTGCGACCTTTATTCGGACGGAGCATTGTTTGCCCATGACATGGGTGCTGTCTACTGCATAGTCGACCGCCAAGGGCTCAGTCTCGACCTCGCGACGGCCTCTGCTGCAACTGTCGCAACTGCCGATGGGACGGTGAACGATCAAGTTCAAGAAAGGACGTCGCAATGGTCGGGATTGTTGCAGAAACGTACGGTTGCTGACCCGGAACTGCCTTATCTGGAAATCGTGTTGGAAGGAGTCGCTATCTCGAGCGGGGGTTGCACCGAGTGGAGGTCCATCTCACCATCTCCAACAACACCATCCACGTAGTAGAAGAGAGGCCGAGCGCCATTGACAACATCACTTCCCAGTCCTGTTCAGCAGAATCTCTGCTCGACTTCCGATCTCACCTCTGAAACACCATGTCTTCTTCAATCACGATCCAGCCGCCACTGTCGCGACGAGGCCACGGTCCCGGCCTCATCATTCTGGTTGAGGCGGGAATCGACCTGGCCAAGCACGACAAGATTTTGGATCCTCCACCAGCGCAGAAATGGGCCGAGGAGGGCTACGCCGTGGCTCAAGTGGTCGTTGCTCCTGGACTCGCCAACATCCCCAACGACATCTCATCGGCCATTGCCCAATTGAAAGCGCTTGAGAGCTGTGATGACAAAGACAAATTTGGCGTCATTGGTGAGCCCTTCAATATCACATGACACCATCACCATCTGACCATCACGCAGCGTTCCTCGCCGACGAAAGACGGGTAGTTGCCGATGCCCTGGAGAGCCATTCTGAGATCAAGGCCGCCGTCTTCTTCAACTTTGCTCAAACCCTCAGCATTCCCACCCTGTCACACGCCTCAGGTCCCGATGGCGGCGGCACCAAACCTGCTGCCCCGTCCAAAACCTATCATTACCCATCAGCCGGCGATTTCTTCACCATTCCGAGCCATGGCAACTTCAATGCTAATGCTGCTGGTCTCGCCCACACGCGCACGTTGACCTTCCTCAAGCCCATCCTTGGGGGACCGTACTTCGATCTTGAAGCCGTGTGGGAGGAGCATACCCTGTTTGAATTTGGCGAGCGAAATGTTGACAAGACTATGGCCACCATGGTTGAGCAACCTTATGTGGGTGTCTTGTGTTCATGTGGCGATGACACCTGCTGACTGCGACGAGGTCAATCATATTCCCACACTCACCGGCGGCGTAGGCCGCGCCCGTCTCACCAACTTCTACACCAATCACTTCATCTTCAACAACCCAGAGGATACAGAGCTTGAGCTGGTGAGCCGTACGGTGGGCATTGATCGAGTGATTGATGAGTTTGTATTCAAGTGTACCCATGATAAGGTCATTGACTGGCTGTGAGCACACCCCGCCCCCCTTGCCAGGCTTCCATCGCTCAGTCTAACGTCTCTCAGACTTCCCGGAGTGCCGCCTACCGGCAAACATCTCTCTATCCCCTTCACAAGCGTCGTCAATGTCCGCGGCGACCATCTTCACCACGAGCATATCGCTTGGGACCAGGCGACGGCTTTGCGTCAGCTTGGACTGCTACCCGACTACCTCCCATTCCCGTACCAAATCAACGGCAGCGGTCCTTCGAGCGGTAAAAAGTTCGAGTATCGATTGCCAGTCGCCGGCGTGGAATCGGCTCACAAGCTCGTGGACGAGGGGGCAGTCGAGTCGAATGCCATGTTCGAGTACGGGACGAGAGAGGTCGATGCGTAGGTGTCGGGCTCAATGGGTCGGCTCAAAAGGTGCGGATCTTCAGTCACTCTCCTCGCGGCGGGTGGTCGCTGACTCTAACGATGAAGAATCTTTATTAGGTTTATTATGTTGTTCGGCTATTATCAATACAATCTTCTCATTAGCAACTCATGAGCTACGGTCGAGAGCCAAGACCCGAGGACGAGGCGCTTCTCGAGGAAGGCTGGTATTTTGACTCATTGTACTTCGACTGTTCCTCGCCCCATCGGACCTCTTGGTCAACCTTGATGCGGATGCCGCCCTTGAGTGACAGGTCGTCGTCGGAGCCAGAGTCGGGTAGGCCCTTACCACCTCGTTCAGATCGCCCCGTGACGCTCGTTGTTACGCCGTATTTGCCGTCCTCGGTGCCGAGACGCTTGAATCCTCTGTCGGCCGACTTGCCGCCGGTTCCTCCAATCGTCATGAGTTCCGTGGGCCCGCGGCTGCCCATCTTAGTCGCACGGCCGCCGCTGCGGCCACCGCTCTGGCCTCCGGAAAGGTTGTACTTGGTTGCGATGCTGCCGAATTGCGATGAAACCTTGACCATGAGCGGACGAAGGGTAGGCAGGCACGCGCTGATGACGCCGCAGGCGCACTCGACGACACACCACGTGCAGGCGGTAGCAAGGGTCCCTATTGATGTCAGGATAAGTAAAACACCGTAAGCGGCGAGCAACTCACATGTCGTGTCCGTCAACTGGAACTGCATAATCGTCGTGAAGCGGTAGATACTGGCGAACAGGACGCTGCTGATGTTAGACAAGTTTCTCCCACATTAAGACGCAGTTACTCACAATCCACCCAGCAGGAACATGAAGCACAGCGAGATGCGCTGCACCATGGTAACCTGCAGCCTCCATACCTCCTTGATAGGCAGGCAGAGAATGGCGACGTCCGTCAGGATGTTGGGGATGGCGTTTCCGATAAAGGACGCCTTGAGGTCGATACAGGTGCCGTCGATCCACGGCATGTACGCCTTCGCCACGGGCGTGCACTGGAACACGCAGACCAGGACGATCGAGATCCACCAGCCGATGGTGAGGAAGCCGAGAACCATGGCCGAGATCTTGAAGCCGCGAGACGGGAAGATACGACGGTACATCAGGAGCAGGGAGATCTTGATGAACATGACTGCCGTGACATAGATGCACTCAAAGGCCAGAAGCAGCTTGAGGAACTGCACCTGCTGGTCCAGAGAGAGAGTCGAGGCATGGCGCCCGAGACCTTGTGCAATCACTATGATGCGATGTGAGTCTGTATTCAACTTTTTTTTGTGTTTTGGCATCTGCTTACTGGCATAGTTGAGAGCACCCGCCATGAAGGTGACGATCTGTTTCTGACGTGTTAGTCTTTGCCCACGATACCACTACCACCGCCGCCATCACCACACCGAAAACGCACCAGTCCAACGACCATGAACCAGTCATCGAGGCCGTAGTGGAAGCCAACCGTCCATCGCGCCCAGAACCGCAGGCCAACAAACACCGTCGCGAGAACGAGCAGCGCCGTCGTGGTGCCGCTCAGCTCCGGCCCTCTATTCGCCAAGGGGTCTTCCACCGTAGTGTCGGCCATGGCGGCTGAAAGAAGAAAAGATGGAGACCGGAAGGACCGGCCAGAAGCAACAATCCAATATCTGAGCGTCCGATTACGAAGAATATATAAAACGAGTAAGATGAAAAGACAGGCGAATTCGACTCGAAAGGGAACAACTGGACCCGCGATGTGGGAGCAGCGCAGCGCCTACTCTAGAGTCCTTATACATAAACAACTTGTCGATTCCCCTGGCTGGGAAAAAAAAGTGGTAAGACAGAAACTGACTCGGCACTTGAGGGGCAACAACTTGCCGGGTAACAGCGACAGAAATGGTCGATTGGGGCCCTCAGAGGGGGCATGTAGCACTGCCAACTGGGGGGGTAGGTATCCAACGGCACATCAATATAACGGCGTCGTCGAGCCCTTGTCCATACCAGAGTGGCACCGTCACAACCCCGGTTCGACTAGCGATGCGTCTGATCGCAGCGACTATCACGGGAGTTCAGACAACGACCCCATAACCAATACTACGCCGTACCACGTTGCCATGCTCCATCGAGCAACCTCAATCGAGGCATCACCCTCCGTCCTGACATCTCCATTCGGGAAGGGGGGAGGGACTCTGGAGACATCATGGGATGGCGTGCCGTGCGAGGGCTCCTTGGCCGCGATATTGACGAGGTATCGGAGCTTGGTTCATGGAAGCAATATTTTCGACGAGGATAAAACCGCCCGAGTTCGTCGCTACCTCGTGGCATTTTGGTCTTCTCTCCTCACGCTCGGCGCCATTTAATCGATTTCCCCCCATCCTCGCCTCGTCTGTCAAGCTTGTTCTGGGCATCGCCCGTCGTCGCACAATTCCAACTTATACACACGTTCCTTACAACGGCCTCTGGCATCCCACCGGTCCTTACAAGTCCATCCTTTGGTACCCTCTTACCTTAATTTATACCACCTCGTTCAAGCATCGATCGGCAGTTGTTCGTCTGTGTGATCCCAGCCCTTGACAAAAGCACTCTATCCCCAACCAGAGAAACACACAGAAGAGATGTTCCCCAAGATCGCCAGCCTCCTCACCTCGGCCCTTGCGGTCTCCGCGGCCGTCCTGCCCCGTGCAGAGCTGCCCACCATCGTCTTCACCCCGGGTGCCTGGCACGGTCCGCAGTCCTTCGACCTCGTCCGCGCCGGCCTGACCCTCAAGGGCTACGAGTCTGAGGCCATCACCCTCCCCTCCGTCGGCGCCGAGCCCGCCACCGTCAGCCTCGACGAGGATGCCGCCGTCCTCCGCAGCACCCTCACCACCCTCGCCGACGCCGGCAAGCAGATCGTCCTCGTCGTCCACTCCTACGGCGGCATGGTCGGCGCCAACGCCGTCTCCGGCCTCGGCTACCAGCAGCGCGCCAACAACAGCGAGACGGGCGGTGTCATCATGATGGTCTACCTCGCCGCCTTCGCTGCCCCTACCTCCACCAGCCTGGTTGACATGCTCAGCGGCGAGTTCCTCCCCTGGATGAGAGCCGATGTAAGTAAATCTTTTGATACGTTTTCCCCCGCTCTCTCCTTCTTTGACATACGGGCCCCCTCTGCATCTGCATCTGTCACTGTTTTACACCCTTGCCTGGGCATATGCAACGTATCAGATGCAGAAAGCGGCTCTCGCTTGATATCAAAGACCACAGTCGACTAACACAGCACGTGTGAACAGGGTGACAAGGTCTACGCCGACACGCCCGAGACCATCTTCTACGCCGACGTCGACCCCGTCCTCAAGGCCAAGGCCATTGCTGAGCTCAGCTGGGAGTCCAAGCGTGTCTTCTCCGATGACGCCACCTACGAGCCCTGGAACGAGGGCATCGAGGTCATGTACTTCCACACCCAGCAGGACCAGGCCATCCCCCTCGCCACCCAGGAGGCCATGGCCGCCCAGTTCCCTGCCGGCTACACCACCTTCTACGCCAACACTTCCCACTCGCCCTTCCTGTCCCGCCCGGACCTCGTCATCGAGGGCGTCGAGCTGGCTGTCACCAACGGCCAGGCTAAGCTTGCCTAAGCCTTTCTCTCCGGAGGCGTGTTGTAGTAGTGTAGTTGAGATATGACCTGTCATGTGAACAATTTCGTGTCGAGGAGATTCTTCGGGGGTGTCCTCGACCTGATAAGTCATAGCCCCCTTATCCTTTTTTAGAGGAAAAAGAGTAGACAATCAAGACCTATTTCCTCAAACCATACTCGGTATCACCATTTGCCTGTGAAATCATGTGTTGTGTCGTTCGAGAATAGCTTCACTGGACCGGTTCCGGTCATCTCGCCGCCGTGTTAGGTACGAGAGAGTCCACCGGAAGTTGTCCGTAATCCGTAAGAGATCGCCGTTCCCCCAGGGCCCTGTCTTCTTTAACGGAGATCCGCGTGCGAAGCCTCCGGAAGCCCCTGCAGCTGCCTGGGGGGTCCCGGAACATGCGACGCGGCAGATACGCTTTCTTCTTTTCTCCCACAAGAGAAAGCTCCAATCCAGAGGCAACCGTTTGGGGGCAACTCGTCAAATATCTGCCCGAAAAGGGTCGCGTAGCCGACGAAAACACACGATGGGGGGCCAAATAACAGGCGATAATGTTGATAACGAGTCAAACGACTCATGAACGACAAGCCCAGAAGAGAAAACAAACAGAAAAAACCTCCGGATATCTGTGCACTGCGCAATCAATCTTTGGCCGGTACCCTACCGCCCACGTGCGCTATTGTCCCTTTTCTTCCAGCAACCAAAGATTACGAAAACAGCTTGACACCCCCCCGGCAATGGCATCAACGACCGTTGCGCGGCGCGCCGCACTCCACAGCGCTTCCCTCATGGCATTGTCTTCAGCGAAGGGTCCCCGGCCTTTCTCGTGTGGAGAACGTCAAGTGTTGTGGACTCAAAGGCCGATGGGAGACAGGAAAAAAGGGGGTGTTGACCAGTTTGACGGGTGGGAACCGATTGATTCCAGGCCTGCCGGAATTGAGTCCTTTTTGCTTAATTCTGCACCCTCCCCTCCCCCCCTTGTTGATGTGACACTGTCTCGTCTCTGCAACCACAAGCTCGTCTATCTAATTGTTTTGAGTTTGCTGCGACATGTCGTTGGAAGAAGGATGGCAAGTTTGTTTGGTTCGTCTAAAGGACGGGCCGGTACTTGGGAAACGCGCCAGACTCGGTTTGGGTGAGTGTGCGCGTGTTGGCTTGCGGGAGGATTTTCACGCGCCAGACGCGAAGGAGAAAGGTCTCCGCGGGGGGGAGACCGCGGCGTTCCTCCCGGTGTGCATCGCGCATCCTCCTGCATTTGCCGATTTCCATTGCATGCACCAACCGGATACAGTGCCCTTTGTGCCTGGCCTTCTGCGCCTTCTGTGCGTTATTCCATTTGGCAGCAAACCGAGCTACGCCGTAACCGGTAATCGGAGGTCCGGGCGTACGTCTCCACACCACCGGGCCCCGTTCTCCCCGGCCGTCTCGGCGCGCCGTCCTTTTTGCACTACTGCACAGGACGAAGACGGAAACGCATTCCCGAGCCATGAGGTTTGCATGAACGGTACGGAATTACGCGCTGGGTCTAGAGTCATCACGAGATCGTCTGTGTGTTTTCCTACAAGCCTATGAGGGGTTTTCTTTTACTGTTGTTATTGAAGAAAGTGTCGCCCCCCCCATTCGTGGCTACCTGCTGCGCGGCATATTGCGTGCGTTGCCTGCGTAAGGTAGTGTTGCATTGGCTCTCGGACGCTCAGGATCCACCACCGCCGCCCATCATCGCCCGGCGCCCGCGATACGAAAAGACTGTTAGAGAGATCTAGAACGCTGTCTATAGTACCCTCACAGAGAGTCCACAGTGGTTTTCGGGAGGGACCTATATCAGCGTCACTGTTCAGGTGAGTGAGGCGGGAACAATACTATCTCAGTTCGGACATTGTGGCAGGCAAGCCAGCCGCAGATTGCGAACGTTGAAAGAGGCGAAGCCAAACGAAACGTTAAAAAAAAAGGCTCTTAAGACTTAAACCCCTAAAACGACAGCGAAGAAACCGACCGACCGACGGAGTTGAAGCGAGCCACATCCCGCGGGTAAATTAGACTTGATCAAATTAAACTTTCACGTCAACAAACATGACAACTGGAGATCCCCCAAACCTTCAACGTCGGTTTTCGAACATGTCAGGCTCTCTGGCGAACTTGGCACTCCCAGGTCTAGCGCAGGACGCAATCGTTTCACCAACAACTGCAATCCAACACCGGTTTGGGACCCTGGGCCCTGAGCCTCCCCCCAGTCTTTCTCTCTCTGGGCAAGGGGGCAGCCCCCCACCAACGGCCCCCATAGTATCGTCGCGCTCTTTAGCCCTTATCGGTGGCACAATTACGGATAGGCAATAGGCATCTCGAACTCATCGCCCGCGGAGGAGCAAGGAACGGCCTCAGAGAAAAACTTGGCCTTGTCAAATCTCCTATGACGTGAACTATCCTCTGACAGGTATCTTGACAGGACGATCTCGTTTCATCGCGGGTGGTCCCCGGGACGCCGGCGGCGGGTTCGTCCGCTGGACCGTTGCGCGGTTTGTTCGTGTTGGCGTTGGTGGCTTCCAAGTTCCGCCCGTCTCTCGAAGTCAAATCTCTGGAGAAGCCTTGAAGCTTTTCTGCTGATCGTCATCTTGACTCGTGGTGGTGGCCGAACCGCGGTTCCAATCCTTCTAGAAGCGGTTTTCCCTCATGAGGTCCTCTCAGTCCCCGCGTACCCGTCACATGCATCTAGATCGATCCATGACTGTTCCTCACTGATCAAGCCGAAAAAGTGATAAAGAAAGAACCGCGTCGCCAGCTTCTGTAGAATGTAACACAACAACTCACTTACGCTCGCTGCAACTCGTAACGAAACGCCCACGCCCGACCAGATCGCCGCCATCAAATCTCTGCAGCGGTGAGTTTCAACGCACGCCCGGAACGCCACTGCCGTCCCGTCCCTCTCCCTCGCCCAAGAGAAGCCCTCTAATTCCCGTCGGCGAATGGGCTCCCGGCGGAAACAGTACGGCGCAGCAACAGTAGCAGCAGCAGGCGAGCATTAGCAATCAGCCAGCAGGGCGAGACGGAGAAAGGCCTCTGCAGGTTGTCGGGGGTGGTAAGTCCCCACTCGCCGAGCGCAGATCTGTATTTTAAAAAAGGGAACACACACAAAAACACCGCGCCTCCCGGACCTACGAATAGGTTGCGGTTGGTCAAGGCCGCAAGATGAGCGGAGAAAGCCCAATGGCGAGGCGGAAGATTATCAAACGTTTGATAAAAAAGCGAGAGGCATCGAAACAATTGGATAGAATGCTCGCGGCCTGGGGGGCTAAGCATCGGTGCCTCGGTATGAGCATGAAGATGGCGAACGCGTCACTGAAAGGCCCCCACGGACCACATCGCGGGCGAAGAAAGGCTGAAATGTCTGCCCAGGATCTTATACATCCTATATTGTTATTGCCAAAAGCTGAACGAGCTGCGTCGATATTGACCGGGCCTGGGAGATGAGCTGGAACGTGCTCTGTGAGAAACAACGTGGTCAGTGATGTGCTTAGTAACGAGGGTCCCGGTTTTGTACAATCTCTCGGCTGAACGCGAGCTCCTCGCGTCGCGACGTTGACCATATCTGATCATAGGCGGATCAGTTCATTGTCGTCGGGCCTGGCCGAGGTAGCATTGTCAGGTCGAGTAGACGACGCTCAAGAGTCATGTTGTGGGTGTGTGATATAGCTGATTTGAGGTTCATTACTCTCTTCTGTCTGAATTCATTCGTCGTCGAGATATTATTATACACTCTTATACTTCGTGCCCTGGAGGGTTTTCCCTTGAAATGCCAAAGCTTTGCCCCTTATTTCGCCAGCCCATGCGTGATATAAAGAAAAAAAAGGTCCAACCACGTCCATACTTTATCGTCGGGTCCTCCCAGCGGCCACTCGCACGTGCAAAGACAGTTGACTGGCTCATCCTGGTATATATGCCCCGACTCGGGCGGGGTGGGTTTTCAGATCGTTAGGAAATAGGTACAAAACGGCCTGTGTCAAGTGTCTTGATGGACACGAGACCACAGTCCAAAGAAGCGAAGGGGTATCGTCTGCGTGGCCACGTTTTATGTGATGGGCGTAAGGAAGGGACTAAGCATGAGCTCGTCCGCACTCGGGCGCAGGTTGTGGTCGATTTCGAAAGTTTGTGAAAGGAATGTCTTGGCGTCATCGGACGCGTGATCCGGGATCGTGGGTGCAGCCTTGCCACCGCCAATCTTGAAGATGGCTTGTAGCTGACTGCAGTCGGGGTAAGGGTGGGTGCCTGTCATCATCTCGACGACCAGGCAGCCGAGAGACCAGATGTCGGCCTTGCGGGTGTAGGATGTCTGCTTCACAACCTCAGGCGCCATCCAGAAGACAGACCCTTGAAGCGAGGGGCGGTGCTTGTTGTTGTTGGCACCGCTCAGGATGTTGGACGCCTCAAGCTTCTTGGAGATACCGAAATCGGAAATCTTGATAGTACCCTTGTTGTCGACAAGGATGTTGGCACCCTTGATGTCTCTGTGAATGATGTCCCGGTTGTGAAGGTACGACAGTCCAGTGAGAATCTGGCGGACGAAGCTACGGACAAGAGGCTCGGGCAGGGCGCCGTATGAGTTGAGCATCGTCTGCACTGAGCCTCCGGGAACGTACTCGAGGAAAATATTGAGGTATTCCGACGACGAGCTGCATCCAAGGTATTGAACAATATTCGGGTGTCTCAGATCGCGGAGCAGACTGATTTCCCGCTTAAGGGCCTCAATCATGCTCTTCTTGCGTGCGTCGTTTTGGCTGTTGGCACCAGGGGCAGGAGCCTCGACTTGCTTCACAGCCAGCAGCTCACCGGTCACGGCATGAAGTGCGAGGTAGACGCAGCCGAAAGAACCCTGGCCGATCATGGCTCCCTTCATCCACTTGTCGTCGGACCAGGATTCTCCCGCGAGGAAGCTCTCGAGCTCCTCGTCTGCGTCTTCCCCATCTTCGTTGAGGGCTTGTGTGAGATCCTTGAGAGACCCAGATCCGGTCGAGCCATCGGCATCAAAATAGCTCCGCCTTGTGACGTTGCCTTCGGGGTCGGTTACGCTTAGAGCCGCAGCGCTGGCACCGTCGGAGCTGTCGGCAAAGGAGACGTATGACTTGCGGTTTGGCTCCACCGGAGACTCCTCCTGAAGGGTGTCGAGCATGGAAGAGGCAACCGAGTCGCGGAAGGCATGCGTGACACGCAGACCAGACCGCGGCTTGGACATGTTGTTCGATGCATTAAGCCAGCTGTCGGCGATGGTGGGAATTGGAGGGGCGTCTTGGATGCTGGACGCGAAGCTGAGGTTGCTGGCCACGCTGAGTCGACTGTTGACCTTGCTCAAACGTGTTGACCTTCTCATAGACAAGCGAGCGGTGCGGTCAATCTCCTCCCTGGGGTGGTCAGGGAAGTAGGATGTGAGGTCGGAAGCGATGAGCTCGCTTGGAGGTCGCAGACCGCCAAATGACCGCAGAATACCCTTGTTCCTCCGCGGACCCGCCGATCTAGGGCCGTCGTTGGATGCAGGTCGCTCGAGTTCCTTAGCGGTGTTGTACACGTTCCGCTCCCGGTCACGGAAGGACACGGGCGAAAGAGGGCTTTGTAGTTCATCGTTCCATCTCTCGCCGAGAAGCTTTTGCACCTTCATCTGACTTCTCTTATCGACCGTCTCAAGGGCGCGGCTGTGGTTCTGCTGGGCCTCCTCGATAGCAATGCCCGCCGCCCTCTCGAGCTCGGGCATCCCAGGCTCGCCAGCAGGCACGCGGCGTAGGATCAAACGGTTTCGCTCAGGTCGTTTTTGGTCCTTGATGATGCGCCACAGCTCTGTGTCGCCCAGCCGTCTGCACTGGTTGGGGTCCGGCTCGATGCCAGCCAGGACCCAGAAACAGTAATTCCTCTCATGGTCCTCTCTCAGAGCAAACTTCCTTAGGGTAACTCGCATGACCTCCTCGCAGGTGTTGCAATCGGCAATCTTGACGACCTTGGTGACGCCTCCTGTTGAAATGACGCGGATGACGTCCTGATTCTGCGGTAAGCCAGCCATCAGTGAACCATCCATACTGGAGTTGTTCCTCGTATGGGAAGTTACCAATCGGCCGGTTGAGGGGACGGACGCCCCGGCGGTACTCACATAGCCGGGGCTTTGGCCATACCGTGGACGCAGAGGGCGGATGGCGTCGGAGCCGGGCAGTGGCGAGGTAGGTCGGGAAGACGAGGTGTCGCCGATGGGCAAAGAGTCGTACTGTCTCGAGTAGCGCTTGTTCATGGAAGGCGTCGGCATGGTGCGGGCACTGGATGCGGACGGCCGCGGAGAGCCGCCCGAGGACGGGGTGTACTGCTCGAGGCCCCCAAACGAATCCTTGAGAACGGTTAGACGGTCGCTACAGGTCACGATGCACACTGGTGGTGGCCTTACCCTATTCCGCTTCTTCTGGTTTGCGTACGCCTTGGTCCTCAACTTCTTAATTCCAAGAAAAAGGCGAACGCGGTCGCCGACTTTTTCGATACCCATTTCCTTGAGGACATCCTTGTCAAGCTCGAGGAGGTTCTCGCCGTTGATGTGGTTCTTGCGGAAGAGCTTCTCGTACTCGCCACACTTGACGCTGCGGAGGTAGTCGCATACCTTCTCCTCATCCCAGTTCTTGACAGCGTCGGGACCGTCGCTCTCTGAAAATTCGGACTCTGTGGGACTGGCGTAGGAGGTTGTCTGGTTCGGGATCGTGGGTGCGCGTCTCGAAGGCGGCATACCGCCGGTCGAGACGCTGGACACCATGGGGTTGTTGGTGTTCAGGGGCGCCGGGAAGGCGGCGGTCTTGGGGGCTAGCATTGCCATCTTTTGGGTATTTCGAAGTTGCTGGTGATCATTGACCGGGTTCGAAAAGGCTTGTCGTGGTGGTTTCGCGCGGGGGTTGTCTCAGCTGCCTCTCTCCTGGAGCGCGTCGTGCCGAGAGAGGATTCCTTGAAGCGGGTGGCCGAGACAGTAGACGGGATGGCGGGCCGGGATGGGGTGATGTTCGGCTCTCTCTCGAGGAATGTTGGTTATGGTGAAAGACGGATGGTCGGTTGCTGGCGAAGGGAATGCTGGCCGTTCTCTCACTACCGGACCGCGAAGGTCTGGATTTGCTGTCTCGTACAGCAGAAGGGGAGGAGAGAATTGGGTTGAACGAAAGTCGTGGGTGGAAATACGGGCACTCCGGCCGGGCGCGAAGAGGAGGAGGGAGAGAAGGGTTAATGATTGATTTTTGGGGGTGCAGCAGGGGAGCGGAGCAGCAGCTCAGGGAGGGGAGGGGGGCGTGTCTGCGGAGGGAAAGTATGGACGATGGACGATGGACGGGAGCGACCCAGGGCAGGCCAGTCACCCAGCGGAGGAGAGCAGGAGAGCAGCCTCAGGTACAGCACAGCGAGTGCAGGGCGGGCGGGACGGCCACACACACCCAACAGCTGTGCCGCACTTGAGGCAAGGAAGGTACTTCAAGACGCTGCCTTTTGACGGGCGACTGTGCGGTACCTGGGTTTAATGAGGCACTAGAAGCGAGCAACAAGCTTCCAATGCTTCCTTTGTGTGCTGTCGCAGCATCCCGCGAAGGGAAAGCAGCCCAATGCAAAGGGCAGCGTGCCACAGAAACAAGCCAGCAGTTCCTTACCTCACCTCACCTTTCTTCCATGCCCCCCTTCTTACCACACTTACGCCGTACCTCACACACTGCAGCGTCTGTTCGCCCTCTCGAGACCACCCAGGCGGAAGTCTCTGGTCAGTAAGTAGAGTATTGTTCCCCTCCCGTATCAGGTCGGCCTCTTTGGCCGGTTTTCTCGGCCTCGCGGACTTGTGTGTTGTGTTGTGATACCTGCCATTCCCTGACATATGGGGTGGGCCATCGGCCGTGACATGACAGCAAATGATACCTCAATTCAGGTAGGTTTTTTTGCTCGGATTTCTGGTGCCGCAACTTCTCCTCTGCCCTGGATGGACACAGGTCCAACAATTTGCTTGCTGACGGCTTACAGCTATTACGGGCCGTCCGAGGGGAGAGGTGACGATGATGGAGGACCCCTGTCGCTGTCCTTGGCGGCAGTAGGTACCTAATCTGCACTGAGGTGAGGTGAGGTGCTGGAGGGGGTGTTTGCAAGGGTAGACCGACGGCGGCGGCTTGATGAAACTGGCTCAACCAGGGGTAACGGCCGCACGTCCCCACCTCGCTCGTCCACCGCACCAAACCTCCCGTCCACATGTCGGCTCACTGCTTGCTTGAGCTTCAGCAAGTATTGGAAACGCATCCCCAGGGCGCTCCCTCAGCGGCACAATGTACCTGAGGAATTACTCAGCTATTCCCGAACATGCAATTTGCCCTTCTCAATGCATCGCCGCATCGCGTCCCCTTTCCGCCAATCGCTGCCGTCCAGATATCTCGCGTCCGCTGCTGCGACAAAGCCCAAGACAACGCCATGCGCGCCGGATATCCCTCTAATTATTGTCATCGCCGCCGCAGCATCTCAAGACTGCGGATATCGCATTGTCTACCTACGACCTAAAGAATGTATTAATGGCTAGCTCCGAGCAATGCCGTGTCCATGGCGTCCCGTCCAACGCCAACATCCATCTCGCTTATCTGTTACGCTTCCACCACCACAAAACCCGACATGCGCCTCTCGTGAGAAAACACACATCTATTCTGGGCCCGTCAGCAAGCCAGCCTCAGCTTCCACGCCCCTTACCTACGGGAGGCTGTTGTCATAAAGGCACCAGAAGGGCCTTGCGACAAGCCCCCATTCTGCGCCGCTGCTATGCCACCATTGAACCGTGACAAAGATAGCATCGACCTTTGTTCGCAGACGACGGCTCCGGCCATACTGCGGAGCCCACAGAACACGGGGTAATTGCGCCGCCATCGTGAACCATCGTCACCCAGTTGTCGTCCTATCCTCAACTCATCCAACCGCCCACCTCTCCCATGCCACGATCCGTCACATGGCAAATCACACTCGGTTCCTTGCCAGCAGCCGCGACAGCCCGCGCGATCCTCACAAATGTCGGCATGGCATGGGCCATCCGCCATGGGCTTCATCAGCTTCTCCCCACAACCACCTCCCAGCTGCGTGGAAGTCTCCATCGCAGCCGGGAGCTGTCAGCGCAAACAATGCATACTATTCGTACGCAGTAACAGACTAACAGCCGAAATCGCAATGTTTTCCCGTCTCGCCCGGATCATGAGAGAAACCCCGCTGCAATGATACCTCCGCTGGTTCCACCGTCCGTGGACGATTGACGAAAACCCGAAACGCCTACGCGGTGAGGGACTAGGGGTGCTTGATAGAACAGGACGAGCAAACGTCAACCAACAAGCCCGACTGGTAGCGTACGCAGTGCGTTGAATGGGACCACCTTAGCCCCGTGATCCAACATCAGACCGACCAATCTTGCTTTTACCAAGGGACCATCGCCACTGGCAGCAGGACTGGACTGGCTATCGTGAACCCTCAACGGACGTGCCATGCACAATCAACCCACAATCGCCAAGGACAACTCACAACTTTTTTTTTTCGCCGCAGAGACTGCAGAGGCAGACAGCGGCGGCGGAGGATGAGCCATAGCTGCGAAGACCGGCACGATAGGGCCGCGTCTGCTGTTGATTGGCTTCCCGTGCCATGCAGTCACTCCAGGGCTGGATGTCTTGAAACCAGTCGTGTCGCACGTCTCGACACCCACTCCGCTGCCCAACATCCCTGGCCTTCTTCTGGGCGCCAACGTCCTGTCCCCCCGCTGGTGCTTGGCCTTGCCCCTCGCTCGCAGTTCGCACCAGAGTCTCCAGATGTCGCCGCGTTATTAGCTCGCCTGACTGGGCCGTCCGCTGTACCATTCTACTAACCTTTCGGCGTTGGCGTCCTCAGATTAATTAACACGAAGACGCCGGTCTGAGCCCGTCAATTGTTTCGCCGCGGGAATTAACACTCACCGTCACTTTGGATGTTGTGTCTTCGTGGATCATCCCAGCTTTGCGACTCCCTCAGAGCCTCTCGAGAGACCTTTACAAGACAGTGGCCAATCATGAGCTGCCCTGGTTTGGAGCTGTCTATTGACTTTTTTCTTATGTGAGCCGCCATGTAACCTGTGGAACATTGGCTTTTTGGGAAGAATGGCATCTGGCTGACGACCTCGTGTACGGAGACTGGTGATGACGAGTTTTTCGTTATTCTTGCCGTTTCCCCCGCACCATGCGAGCCATGCATTGCAAATGACCATGCGTTTGATGACTCGGTTAGGTACTTGACGATGCTATTTTCAAAGATTTGCAGATTTGCAGCTCCTGTACTGCAGTCGTGCGGCGTCGTGCAGGGCAATCTACTGACCCTGCATATCGCCATCTCTCCTCTCTCTCTGTCTCCTGCTCGGCACCGACGATGGAGATGCGCCGTCATGCGAGGGAAATGAGCCATGACCCGATCACCGTCGACTCGCCACCTAGGAGAACCACACAGTGAAGCTATCATCGTACCTTAGTTACCCAGCCGCCGACGCTGAAGTGGGGCTTGGCGCTTCTGTTGATGATCACGGCCTTCCTCGACTGGTGATGTTCGCAAAGACGTGTCCTGGGGTTGCGCCTTTGACGTTTCACACTAGACCGTCTTTGGCCACCGAAAAAAGAGCTTTAACCCTCTGCCAGAACAGCCTGGCAGCCAGAGCTGCAGTGGCAGCACCAAATCCGGCTGTTTGGTGAGCTAATGGAGGCCAACGTGGCCCTGGCCAGAGCGGGCGCCAGCCAGCCTGAAACGTGAAACTTCAGAAGATCTTCCTTGCATATCCAAGTGCCAAACAACCACCAAAAAGGTCGTCCCAAAGCCAACCCTGCAGACCGACGGAGATCGGCTTGTGGGCAAAGCCTCTCCCGGCGCGCCGGCACCTCACCACCCTGCTCGCCGCCCATCATCACGGACGCGACGCAATCTCTGGGGGAGCTTCTCTCGAGTGTTTGCTCGAATGATGGGCCTGTGTGACTGAGCACACTTCCACGTGGACAGGAGGTTCACAGATGGAAACATGACGAGGAGCGAAGGGGGGCCGCAATGCGCCTTGTCCTCGCGGCGGCTCCTTCTTTTTCGTTTAGCGCCAGAGGCTTGCTATGGAGAAGTCAGATGCCGAAAGCGAAGGCTTGAGCGAAGGCGAGCCGTGGCTTGCCTCAATTACGGCACATCTCTTCTTCACGCACTGCGAATACGACGGGGACATCGTGCAACCTGGAGCGTTTCTTTTCGGGCGATGAAGGCTCGTCCTGGTCTACCTGCCCCTGCGTCTGGGGGTTTGTTGATGGGTACGACAGTAGCAGCCAAGAGTTCCCTTGTCTGGCTAGCATGCTGGGCTTTTCACGATGCTTTTCACCAGTGACTGAAAACACAGGGAAAAAGTCTATAGAAATTGGAGAACGGGACCTGACGAACACCCGCCGGGGTGCGTGCGCGAAAACCAAAACTGGGATAGCCAGTCCGGCCGGTCTCCCGCCACCGACACATGCCATCGGTACAAACCTGTCAGGGTCCGGCGGCGCTTAAATAGGCTTTCGGGCTGTCGGGCGGGTCGCCGGTCTCCGCACGGTCGGCTATCGGCTTCCGTCCGGTCAGCCCGGAAGGGGGGTCGGCCGCCGCACTCTCGGCCTGGGGACGGGGCCTACTGTCCGCTCGTCGCGATAACGGCGCGGCGAACCCATGAGTCACCGAGATTTATGTGACTCAGCCGCTGTTTCGAATCATGAGCGCCTAGAGACTTTCAGCCAAAGTCCTGGGATACCGTCTGCACAGCTTGTCTGCCGTCACGCATCGATCCGAGCAATCCGCCATGGACACCACACACAACTTTTGCTTCCCAGTACGAGTGCTCGCCAACTCGCGGGTGAAACTCACGCCGTTTCGGGCAAGTCTGTCATGCTGCCAGCTGATGATGATGATGATGGTCACTAACCCTCACGTCCCGTCCAGGCCGACCGCCATGCGGCGAAGTACATTGAGTCTACATCCGGACACCCTGAGATCTACGCTCACACCATAGCGGGCCCGTACAAGAGCGTGGACGACTTTGTGTCCAGCTTCGTGGAAGGCGAATCTCGTATCGACCCGGGCATGATGACATACGCCATCATCGACAAGACGCGGCCGCCCTCGGACGAGGACGAGGAGGGGGAGATGGCTGGCCGGATCTCCTTCGCCAACACGTCGACGGCTCATTTGTGCACAGAAATTGGCTACATTGTCATATTTCCAGCGTACCAACGGACGCATGTGACGACCAACGCCGTCGGGCTGATGCTCCACGAGGCCTTCAAGAGCCCCGAGGACGGGGGTTTCGGCATCCGGAAGGTCATCTGGCAGGCCCACGCCCACCCCGGGAACAGCGGCTCGGTGCGCCTGGCGCAGCGGATGGGCTTCCGGGAAGAAGGGGTCAGGCGGTGGCATAGACTCATCCCGAGGGGCCGTCTCCAGGGCAAGATTGGCAACGGCGAACCGCTGCCGCCAGGGAGCGATCCGGATGACATCTGGCGGCACAGCGTGCTCCTTGCGCTCTGCTGGGACAGCTGGCTGGAGGGAGCTGCGGGCCAGGTGCAACAGGCGATGGACCGAACCCGCTGACGTCTGCGTGTCGCTGTTGTCTGTTGTGATGCCATGGAATACCAAAGAGACGTCTTTTATCGTAGCGTCATTGCTGTTGTTGTTCTTGTTAGAGTCCCATGTTGTGTGCAGCGTTGGAATGTCTCAGACTAAAGCTTGTCAATCGTTCCGCTGGGTGTTGTCGTCGACAGCTGTTGTACGGCATCCCGTCGCGCTGTACCTTGCCCAACCGCATTCAAACAATTGAGCTTCACCGTGTTCACGGATGACACGACTCATTGTGAAGCAATGGGGAATCGTCACCGTCTTACTCGCGCATGTCAACTCTGATTGAAGGTGTTCTGCGTGGTGGTGCGGGCTCTTGGGTGCGCCATGCCTTGCCCAACCGTCTGGGTCACTGCGGGTGCGGGTGCAGTACCGAGAAGTGGAGCTCTTTTTCCCCCGTGCCCCGCGAAAAAAACACAAACCCCCTCCAAAAAGGCGCGCCCAGTCAGTCAATCGCTTGACCCTCTCCGATGTAGGGGAACCTCCTCCAACGTCTTTTCCCATCAAACCCGCAAAACCAGCAACCCAACCACGCCCCATCACCGCTCCGGCCGCCAATGCTCGCCAGTGGGACAGTACGGCTCATTAAATGAAGCTGCTTCGTATTCACGATATCACGAGGAACGTGTGTGCAGTCGATCGCCCGCAGGTGGTGCTACCCCGACGCGGCCACCCGGAACGGGAATAAAGGCAATCGAGTTCCACGACTTTGCGTGTGATGAGAGAGCCCTCGAGCAACTGATCTCATCCGCAACTCACCGCCCCCTCTCTCACACTCGCCCTGGAGCAACAACAGAAAAACCCAAGCTACAGCTCCTCCTCTCCTTGAAGAGGATCATCAACGAGCCATGAGTGACAAGTCTCAGGTTCCGGCAGAGGCTGCAGCAGCTGGCGGCGGCGTCAAGCCGCTGGTGGCCTTCCTGGGTCCCCAGGCCTCGTACACCCACCAGGTATCACGAACCTGAAATCACACATCACACGGCATGCCGAGCAGTTGTCATATCTAACATCTTTATGTGTGCAGGCTTCAGTGCAAGCTTTCCCAGACGACGAGTGGGATCTACGGCCGGTTGTCACCATCACGGGTCAGTGTCTCTCCATGTCTTGATTCCTGCCCCGCGTTTTTGTCTTGGCTCTCCTGTTCCGGGTTTCCTGACCGGGCCGTAGACATTTTCGAGGTCGTGCAAGCCGGGGAGGTCGCCTTCGGCGTCGTCCCCGTCGAGAACTCAACCAACGGGTCCGTGCTGTTCACGCTCGACAACTTCGCCGACCGCAACGCCTTGTACCCGGACATCTCTGTGTGCGGCGAGATCTACCTGGACGTGCACCACTTCCTCGTCGGCCGCCGTCCGCCCCGCGTCCTCAACGACGACGCCGCCGGGGCCGGCAGCGGCTCCGGTGGCGACGGCTCCGGCGCCTGCACCCCGACGGCCTCGGACCCCAACCCCCTGAAGCCGCGGACCAAGCCGCTGTGCAGCCTCAAGCACATCCAGCGGCTGTACTCGCACCCGCAGGCCTGGGGCCAGTGCGTCGCCTTCCTGCAGACGTATCTCAAGGGCATCGAGGCCATCGACGTGAGCTCGACCAGCCGCGCCGCCGAGCTCGTCTCCATGGACGAGACGGGCACCAGCGCCGCCATCTCGAGTGAGATCGCCGCCCGCATGCACGGCATCGACGTGCTGGCACGCACCATTGAGGACCGCGAGGACAACACGACGCGCTTCTTCATCATCCGCAAGGGCCTGGACGGCAAGATGCCCGGCCACTGCGAGCGCAAGAGGGGCAGGACCAAGTCGATGGTGTCATTCACGGTCCCGCACGAGGCCCCCGGCGCCCTCGCTGACGTGCTCGAGTGCTTCCGCAAGTTCAGGCTCAACCTCACGAGCATCAACAGCAGGCCGAGCCTCACGGGGCCCTTTGAGTATGTCTTCTTCGTCGAGTTTGAGGGCCACAGGTTCCAGGACCCCGACGGGAGGGTCAAGGGGGCGCTCGAGGGGGTCGCCCAGGTGGCGGAGAAGCTGAGGTGGCTAGGGAGCTGGGAGGACCAGCGGTCATGAGGCAGGGCAGGGCAGGGCAGCCTTCGGCGAACCCCGTTCGCGATGTCTCGCGCTGTTGCCTCCCTGGCGTGTCTTTTTCCTCTCTCTCACGCGACAGCACCCCCACGGCAAGACCCAGCAGCACCGGGACTTTGACGGATGTCGGGATGCTGGTGGCCAGACCGTCGTTGCCGTCTGGTGATGCCGCACCCCCTGAAGGAACATGCTTCGGGGCTACTTGTGTGAATATGCGGCCACGAAGGGGGTGGTGGGCGCCGTTGTCGGTGGCACACAAGGGGATCGATTGGACGGAACAGGCCTGGACTGGCTGACGACATCGCAGCTATGTCGATTCGAGATAAGAGGTGCGTCGTGGGCTGGGCAGAGACTCAGGAGCGTGGGATTCCCCCCCTTAGCCATTGTGTAATGGAAACAGCGAGTGCCCGCCGTGGATGTTTCTCTCTCGTGGTTCTGGACTCTTGTTCCGCAGGTATTTTTTTCTTGTTGCCTCCGCTGCCCCCCTGGTCCGTGATGGATGCCCTTTGAAGAGTTTTCTCCTTCGTCTACGCCGAGTGGTGGCGTCGTGAAGCATGGCCACGATACTGCGGTCATGGGCATTGGCAAAAAAAGGGGCTGGCCCTTTCGACTCGTTGTCAATTTGGAGAGCGGCGGCCGATTGAGAGCTGTCATCTGCAGCAGCACGCATATACACTGGGCAGGTATCTACAGACACAGCGAAGGGAAGATGCGATGGAAACAAGCAGGAAGAAGCGACGGATCAGGGAGCTACGGCCACGGCCACATGTGATGGTATCGCGAGATGAACGAACGCCGGTCGCGTGCCTATGTGTCTCACAACGCCCAATCCCACGCGGGCTGGACGAATAAGAGCCGTCCCAACAACGCTCAAAAACCTGTATGCAACTGTCATGCCTACAGGGACTAAGGTACTACTCTGTGAACGGTGTGAGGGCCTCGGCTCAGTAGCACGCCCCTCCAGTAAGCAGAGCTAAAGTTTCCTTTCAAAGCTTTGTACGGTAAGTGTGAGTGAGCAGGGAAGCGAGAAGGGCGAGCGAAGAAGCTCTGCAACCTCCGCAGAAGCTCTGCAACCATTAGCGTGGCGGGTTGAGGGGGTTGCTGGAAGCTCTGCAGAAGCTCTGCAAGTGTTGTCTGGCGCCTACCGTAATCATCATTCTCAACCATCCATCACCCACCCCCAACCCCTCCCATCCTTTTTTTGTGTGTGTCTTTTTTTTCCCCCCGGTCGGCCACCCCCTCTTTCTCTCAACTAGTGTTGTCGGCCTCATCCTCGTTCAAAATGGATGGGTTGCTCCGTTGGAAATTGGGGGCGCATCTCTTCATGGTGGATCGACAACTCCACGCCCATTACGTCCATATTACACGGACGAGAAAAGGGCAGGAAAAAGACCCTTGCGGAGCCCGCGCATCCTGCGAGCTGCATCCCGCGTCAACATGGCCGAGCTGGCCCCAGAAAAAAAAACAAAAGACAGACAAGACTGGCAGGCAGACCAGAGTTCTGACTTCTGAGGGCGCAGATGCCGAGTATGTGCCGTTGCTCGTCAAAAGGGTCGAAGGATGCAGGGAACGCGGCGCGGTGCAAGCCGGGAAGAATGCTGCTTGATGGAGTTTGTTGGAGTGCTCTGAAGTAATAAGCTGGAGCAAGCTGGAGCAGGCTGGAGCCGGTCTCCACCGGCCGACACACGTTCCGCCGCGGAACCTCTCCATTGCTTGATTGCCCAGCCAGAAAACCATGAGATTTCATCAGATTCCCGGTCAATCCCCAGCGGGCATACCCACGCATTTCCCGCATTTACCCTACTGCACTGCGTACACTACTACACGTATGTAGCCATACAGTAGTACAGGCCAAGCAGGACCAGGCACTTGGCCTTACTGGGTAAATGGAGAATGAAGAGTGCTTCGAGTTACAGAGTTTTCCATACAACTCTCGAGAGGTACCTGCTCGTTCAGTGTTTTTCCCAGCCGACAAAAGCGGGCTCCGACCCTAGTGCTGCTGGGCGTGGATTCGGAGAGCTGCAATTGGAGAGCCGGCTTCGGGTCCTTGTCTTACTACGCGCACTACACGTCATAGCACAAGGTTTTGCAACGAGACGCCTCCCAGGTACAGAGCAGGAGTACTGGTCCGTACCGAACGAGAATCGTCTGGTCTCCGGATCAGGTACCTCGCCGGCCATTGTCGACGGTGTTTTCGCCGCCTCAGCCCGTGCTTTTGCCCGCGTCGAGCTGCTTCCCGCGCTGGATGCGGTACTTTCGTCTCACCTCGCCTCTACCTCTGCCTCTACCTCTGAGCAGCCTCTCGAGTGACTTGCAGCCGGGTGGGTTGAGTGGGAATCTTCGGTCTGAAAGAGGGGCGGGCGCGTTCCATGATCCGTGGCCAGACGCAACAACGACGCCAGTACCAGCAGTAGCGAGCCCAGACTACGAGGATACGTAGCTACATTTGGCACGACGGACGGCTGTCGGCCAAGGCAGTCGGCAAAGGCAGGAACCCAGGGAAGAAGTTACTGACACTGGGCGGTCGTTCCATGGGAAAGCGTGGGCGACATGTGCGTGAAAGGCGACAAGTGACTGCCCGTCGGCGGCAGTGGGAGTGGGAGTTGCAGAGCTTCGGGCAACCCAGAAGGCAACGTGAGAGGCGAGCTGGACTGGACCATGAAGGAGCTCTTGGACAATTTATAGCCCAAGCCCGCACTCTCTTCCCTCCCTTGACCTTCCTGTCTCTCTCGATTTCGCCATCGATACCTGTTCTGTCGACATATCACGATCTCTCCCATCATCTCCATTTGTTGCTTAGCCCCAGCAACAAGAGCTTCTCACAACGGCTGACAGCTGTCTGCGTAATTGATTGATTGCTGCCTGCAAGTTCCAATTCAGCCTCTGCAACAAACTCGCGGATCC